CTGAGGGCTAAAAAGGAAGCATCTACTTCAGGTTTCTGTCCCTAACTTGTAGGAGGCCATCTTCTCTTGTGTCTCTCATATTGTCTTCCTTCAGTATGTGTCCAAATTTACTCTTTTATAAAAACACCAGTCATACTGTATTCAGGCCCACTCTCATGAACTCATTTTAATTTAATTATATCTCTTAAATTGTACCTGAATATGGTTATATTCTGAGGTATTCAGGATCAGGACTTCAACATATGAACTTTGAGGGCAACACAATTTCAACCCATAACACAACTGGGTCAAGTCATACATACACAAACAAGAACTCTCAGTGAGTCAAGTTTCTAAATCCATCTTTTAAAAAAAGAAATGTTTTTCTTATTATCATATTACCTGCTTAGAATCCCTGGACCAGATCAGTTGCACCCGGTATATAAGAAATGTGCTCCCTTTACAGAGTCATTGGCCTGCTTTCGATCCTTGAAATAACCCCCTTTAGCTTAGACCATATGAAGTTGGGGGGCAAGGCTTCTAGCCTTACCCGTGTCCGGAGCAAATCCCCAGGGATAAATACAGTTCCATGTGGGTGGGTGGAGTATGGGTGACATTTGGTGATTTAACTTTCTCAGATGTTTACTGAATATCAATCAGGTGCTGGTTAGGCTCTGGGGAGGTCAGTGGGAATAAGGGCCCCTCTGTCAGAGCAGAGCAGAGCAGCTTGGTCTGGGGTCACATGTCCTGCGCGGTGTCCAGCCTCGTCAGCAACGCAGGCTCCCTCTTCTCTCTGTGGGGATTGTTTCTGTCCATCAGTGATGTTCCTGTGACCTGAGCCACAGAGCTGCCATGGACACTGCCCTGCCCAGGTGCCGCAGGTACAGAGAGCCAGGAGAGTCGGGGGCCTTCTTTCTGCCCCTGTACCTGCTCCCTGAAGGACTTAGCTAATGCCCAATGGATGATGGCACAGGGGTCTGATAGCCCAGAGGAGGGACACACTCTGAGCAGTATTTATAGTCTACCCTCTTTATTCACAGAAGCTGTATTTGCAAATTGGCCTATGCACTAAAATGTACTTGTAACCCAAATCACTGTGCGTGTGTTTTCATGATCATTCAAGGACACACACAGTGAGGCAACGCTGCCTCTTGTTTCAGCTCTCATAGGGTAAACAAGTTGTCCTTTTTGTGGTCTATTTAGTGCGTGTTTTTCACATTTTTGTGCTTTTTCTTGGCATTTTCACTGTTTAAAATGCTCCCCAGGCATTGTGCTGAAGGGCTGTCTGGTGCTCGTAGCGCAAGCAGGCCGTGATGTGCCCTATGGAGAAAATCGTATGTTAGGTTAGCTTTGCTCAAGCATGAGCTATCGTGATGTGGGCCGTGAGTTCAACGTTAATGAATCAACAAAGTACATTGGTGTCTTTAAACAGAAACACACATATAACAGCGTTGAGTGTTAATCCGTTTTGTCAAAAAAATGTGACCAGATCCTCACAGGAACTTAACCCTATGCCTCACTAGGAGCGGTGATTTAGTATTCCCTAATTTAGTGTTCATGGTGATTTTATAGAATATAACTACCACTACCACGAATAATAAGAATCCACTGTGAGGCGTGCGCGTGGCCTTCTAACAGATTCCAAGAAAGAAGTTGGAGCTTTGCAAAAGACCCCAATGAGCATCTCATTGCTTTCACTTTTCAGCTTTCACTTTTAAGCTTTTTGGTTAGTTTATTGTTTGCTCCAATTGCTATCCATTGCCTCCATCAGTCATGATGTTAAAACATTTAAATGGTAAACAACCTATTGTTACCAGAGAAACCCTGGTTCCTCGTGCCAACACAGTAAAGAATTACAGGTCAGTGAGCCTATTAGCGTGCAAAGTTCATTAGTGAACGGGAGAGCAAAAGCAAGGGTGGCTGGAGCAAGAGTGGCAAAAACAGGGATGGCCAAAGGCCTGGGTGGGCAGCACCCAGGTAGCCAGAGGCTGGGTGGCCAAAAAGGGGTGGCCAAGCGCCTAGTGGCCAGAGGTCCCGCCCAACCCTCTGTGCAGCAAGAGAGCAAAGAGCCAAGAGAAGAGGCCAAGAGAGCAAGTTCTTTGTTCAGAGGACTTATACAGTGGTGGGGTGGAGGTGAAGAAGTTACATTTTGGTTGGTGGGTAAAGGTGGTGCCAGCCTTCTGTGGAGATGTAACTGCCTAAATGTAGGTCTGGGTGGAGGGGCCTCTGTTAGCCCAAATCCTTATCTTGTTCAAGACTTTATTCATTTTGCATATGACAGGAGGCAGGCAGTTAACCAAAGTTGTTTATGGGCTTTTTCTTTTGGGCACTGTAGTCCCCCTCCCCTTCCCCCTTCCAGGCCTTGGGATGAATAGACAGTCTCAAGGTTTTCCTTTTCCCAGCCAGTGGAGATGATACACACAGACTTTCAAGGGCTCCCTCACCTCCTGCACTATCATAGTTCACTTGTTTGGGACGCCTGCCAGCCTTATCAGACCAGGTTCAGAATGACTGTGTTATGGGTGAGCCTTTGCTTTTAGATCCTTGTACTAAGTTCTTCGTTAGATTGCAATGGCAAGGACCCAGCCTTTATTTCCCTTCTGGCCACCCATTCCTAGCTGCTATCTAAGTGTTAAATGGTGTTACTTGGCAACCAGGACACTAGCGGCTGGCCAGCAACACTAGCTCGGTCTCAGGATTCCTCCTATGCTATCTCCTGCAACACTATGGGGAGAAGCCATTAGGGCTGGGCTAGTTCGAGCGAGGTGGGGTAAATCCAGGCTTTTCAGGAAGTCATCCAGGGGACAACTAAACAGGTCAAATAATGACTTATTTGGCATGGAGGCTTTGAAAGAGCTGCAGCTCTTTTCTGCTCTGTCTGGTACAGATACCAGGAATGTAGGCTGCTAATTTTCAAGGCTGCGGGGAGCTGGAGAGGAGGAGGTAGAACTAGAATAAATTAGAATGCTACAAAGCTTGATGTTCTTACTTAGATTCAGTGGTTTTTCTTTTCTTTCTCCTTTTTTAAAATCCTCTTCCAACTGGGGACAGAACCCACAGCCTGGCATGCGCCCTGACTGGGAATCGAACTGGCAACCTTTCAGTTTACGGGAGGATGCTCCAACCAACTGAGCCACACTGGGCAGAGCTCAGCTGTTTTTCTTGACTAAATGCTAAATGAGTTCCTGCAGGACTGGTTAATTTACAGAGCTCTGAAAACATTAATTCTGACCATTTTTGCCAGTTTTTCATTGTTTGTATGGAAGGGAAAACTTTCTGAGGTCCTTACTCCAGCACTTTCACTGACATCACCCTTCCTTTCTTTTTACAAAATATTATTTTATTGTACAATATTAAAGCCACAATTAAAAATTAAAAGTTTTAACAAAAAATTAATTTTTCCACACAAGTTAAAAAAATTCAAAGAGAAAAATTGCCTCTCATCCCATCCCCTAATTTATTTCATTTTTAAAAAATGAAAAAAAAGATTTTATTTATTTTTAGAGAGGGGAAAGGAGGGAGGAAGAGGAAGAGAAACCTCAATGTGTGGTTGCCTCTCCTGTGTCCCCTTCTGGGGACCTGGCCTGCAACCCAGGCATGTGCCCTGACTGGGAATCGAACCACTGACCCTTTGGTTCGCAGGCCTGCACTCAATCCACTGATCTTCTCCAGCCAGGGCCCCTAATTTATTTCTCTCTGTCCATGTTATTGTCTACTCTTCGTCCACACACTTAATAGATTTTTACATTTTGTTAGTAGTAGTATAGAATTTTATGTTCAAGTTAATATAATGCTGTTTTTTCACCACGATCTGTCCACCCCTCACTTTCTTTTTTTCTACTATCCTAGTACCTCCGGCCCACTCCCTACAACCAACGTTAATGCAAACAGCGGTGTTTGTCTTCCTCAGTCTTCTCCAGGCTAATTAAAAAATCTCTCTCCACATTCACACACAAACGGGATTCTCTTTTCGCTCTCGATTTCGCCGCCTCTACACAGCTTTCTTTTCTCACTTAACACAGACAGAATGGGTCTTTCTCTGTCAATAGACGGAGATTTAATACATGGTTGTTCAGGCCGGCTAACCTTGTGGATAATGATCAACCCTTGTACCCAGTACCCAACCTCCCCAACGTAAACATTTGGGTACATAACTTTGGTCCTGTTCCTTTTAGTTCCAGAAGATTCTCTGAGGAAGGATTGCTGGGTCAAAGGTCACACACGGAAAATGTTAATAGCCATTTTCCGACTTTGCCTAAAGTTTCCAAAAAGTCACTTCCATCCTTAACATTTCTCTATGTTTGGAACAGTCGCTCACAATTTATTCACTCTTTATTCGGCAAAGGTGCGGAGACACGTTCTGATTTTTTTAAACAATATACTCTTTTGTGTTTAAAACGGGGGTTTCGCCTCCAAAACTGAGGCGAAAGGAACGCTTCGTCCCCTTCGCATTTGGAGTGATAGTTTTCTGCTGGGCCGGGGCCCAGGGTCGGCGTCGCGTCGACGTAAGCCGTCCGGACCGCGCAGGTCGACGTCGGAGCCGGTTTCTGCCGGTTTCCCAGGGGGCGTCGCAGCCCACTCGCCTGACGCGCGGGGGCACAGAAGCTCTGGAGCTGGCGGCAGCGCGATTCCCGCACGCGCCGGCTTCCGGGGAGGCGGCAGCGCGAGCTCCCGGGCGTCGCTCCTGCGGCCCCGAGGTGAAGGGCTTCGTGTGGCGCGTTTCCTCCCATCGTCCCGAGAGCCGCTCCGAGGTCCCCGTGTATCGTCCGGGCCGCCGTCAGATCGCTTGCGGCCTCCCGACGGAAAAGATGTTTTCCTGGTCGGGCTGGGCGGCTGCCTCAGCAGGGGGCGCAGAGGCCGGAAGGCACCCAGCCCCACTCAGCTGCGGGCCCGTGGGCGTGGCGAGGCAACAGAGATTCTCCCTTCCTTCGGGCCCAGGCAGCTTTCGGTTTCGTTTCCCTCTGGCGTCTCCACCTTTCGGCGTCCGCCCGGCTAGCGGGCAGTCCGACGGGCCGTGCGACCCCATCGCCGCCGCCGCGGCCTTGACCATGGCCAAGGCCGCCGCCCTCGCCGAGGTGACCCAGGTGCTGTGCGCGGCCGGGGGCGCCTTGGAGCTGGAGGAGCTGCGGCGCCGCCTGCAACACGGCGTCGGTGCGGACAAGCTGGAGCGGCTGCTGCGGGAGGGCCGGCGCTTTGCGGTGGCGACGCGGGCGAGAGGCGCGGCCGCTGCCTCAGGCTCCGAGCGGGTGGTGGTGGCCATCTCGGCGCTGCGCCTGTGTCGCGGCCGGGGCGTCAAGACCACCTGCACGGGGCTCTGCGGGGAGCTGCACTTCTGCAAGTACCTGGTCCTGGGGGCCTGCAAGTTCGTCAAGAGCGGGTAAGGCGCCGCGCGGCTCGACGGCGGGCCCCAGGTGTCGGGCGGGATGAGGACCCCGGGCGCCTTGCCTCCCGGCCCGCTTTGAGCCCTTTTTAAAGTTTGGGGAGGCGATTTGGTGGCCGTTCCCCCTTGTCAGCGAACGTTTAGTGAGCACCCACTGAATACCTGGCACTGTGGGAGGGAGGGACTCGGCGGAGCCGAGCAAGGAAGGCTCCTGCCAGCTGAGCGACTGGGAGGCAGGGGCGACCTGGGTGTGGCCGCGGCGGGGCGAGTGCGGGGCTGGGCTCGGGAGGGAAGGACTCTGAAGTAAAGGGGCCGCGTTTGGCCTTTCGGCTCCCCCACGACGTCCCGTCTGCAGAGCTTTGAGGGCCACGCCACCGCCCCCGGCGGCTCCCTCAGCCCCGCAGCCGGTAGAGGCTTCAGTGGCATTTGGAGTAAAATGCAAGTTCCCCACCGGCGTCCCCGCGGCCCCTGAGGAACTGGCTCCGGCCCCCCCGCCCCCCGCCGAGTGCCCTTTGGTTTCTGGAACACTCCCAGCCTTTGCTCTCGGCTGGCCTTCGCTCTGCGTGGAACGCGAGTCCGGGTTTGCCCCGTGAATCCTCCTGGCCTTCGCTGCAAAATCACTTGTATTTTCTGAGCCCCTTCCTCCCTCTCCCTGACAACATCCTGGTTTCTTTTCTCCTAGCACCTACCCACCCCCCGCCCCGCGGCAGGGCGGAAACGACCGACCGTGGAGGCTCGCCCTCTGGGCCCTGGCCGGTGGTCTCCCGCGCTGCCTGGGCAGGTGCTCAGGGAGGTGGGTGGGCTAGGTTTGCGCTAAACTAAAGAGTTTGGACCCGAAGGGGATAGGAAACTGTGAAATGGCAGGAGAGAGCAGCCACCACGTCTGCTTCTTCGTGTGGATTCTGATTTATAGGAGGGACCTGTTGGAAATCAGTCCAGTCATCTAAAAGAATTAATCCCTCCCTCCCTCCCTTCCCTTTTCTTCCCTTCTCTTCCCTTCTCTTCCCTTCCACACAGTAGACACTTCTTGCTCATGTCAGGTCCAGTACTAACCCATGATCCGTGCAGTTATTCAGGGACACAGGCTGGCTGACCTGGACTCTGCTCTCCTTAGCCTGTGGCTCTCAAGGCCGTTCTGGCTACCTGGTTCTAGGAAGCAGGTGGAGAAGATGAACAGTAGAGGGTTTGAGAGAGGTTTTCATGGGTCAGATCTAGAAGTGGCAGGCATTCGCCCACCTGCATCCGCTGGACGACCTAGGTGGGGAAGTGGGGCTGGGGAATGGGGTCTCTGTGAAGCAGCTGCCCAGAAGTATCTAGATTAGAATATGCCAAGGCCCAGGTAGGGCCTTAAGGAGAAGGGATGAATGTGAGAAAAATTTGGAGAGCTGGGGAGTTGTTGAGAGTGTAGTGACAATATGAGAGAGGCGATGGCTCAGTTCTCAGTTTTGTTGACTGAGAGACGACTCTTACTTCCCTTTCTTACTGGCTGAGAGAGCAGGAGGGGATTTTGTTTTGAAGTGTGCCCAGGGGTCTGAAGCTTGAGGGGACGGCCAGGGCCCTGATTGCCTGGTGTGGGAGCCGTGTGGGCTGTGACTCCAGAAGTGGGTCAGATCTAAGGTGGGTCAGAGGGTGGAACGCTGAGGAAATGGGCCTTGAGATACTGGTGGAGAAGAGGCACCTTAGGGGAGAATGAGGAGCGGCTGCTGCAGCGGAAGGCAGGCACAATAAATGGTGGATGGATGGGTCTACTATGGGGATAATTGATGGATCTTGTTAATGCTAATGTCTGTATTTGGTAAGATAAAGATGGCACCCTCTTCTTAGGCTACTTCCCAAAATTTGGGGTTACTTGTCTTGGAAATTTGGACATCTGGTATTTACTGGCCTAGATGATTCTGAGTTTTTCTTTTTTACTAAATTTATTGGGGCGACAGTGGTTAATAGAACCACACAGGTTTCAAGTGTGCAGCTCAACATTATCACCTGCATGTTGCTCACTGCCCAAAGTCAAGTCTCTTTGGGCCTCCATTTATCCCCTCTTTGTCCTCTTCCCACATCTCCCCACCCCCTTTTCCTCTGATAGTCACCATACTGTTGCCTGTGCCTGTGTTATTTTTTTTGCTTAATCCCTTCACCTTTTTCATCCAGCCCCCGCCCCCCCCCCCGCCAGCTAGCTGACAGTCTGTTCTATATATCTATGCTTCTGTTTTTATTTTGTTTGTTAGATTATTTTGTTCATTATATTCTATATCTTTATTCTTCACCTTTCTCTTTTCCTTGAGGTTCTCACAAGAATTTCTTGCACCTTCCTTCTCAGACTGTTTCTGGGTTGTGTAGGGAGAGTATTTGTGGTTGGTTTTATTTTCTATGCTTGTCCTGCAACTCTAATGATCTTCCTGAAGTGCAGGTTGACTTTTTCAGAAATAGATTCTCACTGCCTCTTTTGCTCATTGGTGACATCTGGGAAGGGTCCCCAGTCCCTGACTTCCACCTTGTGCTTGTGGAGGTGGGTGGGGCGCAGTGAGCACTGTGGCCAAGTCCGAAGACAAACCTACTTTTTTCCAGCCCTGCCTCTGCTCCTTGCTAGCTGGGTGATCTTGGGCAAATTACTTTATATCTGAGCCTCAGTTCCATCAGCTGCAAAATGGGGATAATAATACCACCTACCTCATAGAGTTTTTGAGGACTAGATTAATTAACTCGTAAAATGTTTGGGCAATGCCTGGTGCATTGTAAATGCTTAAGAAGTTTTAGTAGCCATGATTATAATGATTAGATAGATTTGGCTCTGGCAGCTTTGATTATTAGCTTCTCTGCCTGGAATGCTCTTTCCTTCTCCTTGCCTGGATCCTCCTCAACCCTAATAATTTGGCTCAGGCCCTCTCTCATTTGCTTCTCCACTTCTGTCAGGCTCAGGTGCCCCTCCTCTCCATACTGATGTATTCTGAACACAGCTGACCTTGCACTTTCCACTCCATTTTAGAGTAACCTTTATGTCTTTCACCCCCACTAGATGAGAGAAAGTGAGGAATCAGGATGACTACAAAGTTTTTGATGTGTACTGTAGAAGAGGGAAACTGCCTTTTACTGAGATGGTGGAGGTTTGGGGAAGTTGGATCAGGGGTTCAGTTTTCTTTTGAGATGCTTACAATAAGCATGATGTATGAGTTAAGGCAGTGCTTGAGTCAAGTAAATGGTATTTGCCTGGCTTTTCTGGATTATGTTGCCCCGGGCAGTCAGTTTTAGTATTTGGGTCACTGGGGTGTGGTGCCAGTGCCTGGCCCACAATAAGTGTTTAACAAGAGCTTATTGATTGAAAACATGGAGGAAGGAGGAGAAAAGGCTGGGCCTCAGGGGTGTGTTTGTGTTAGCGCTTATAAACATAAAGCAGTGGTCCCCAATCTTTTTGGCACCAGGAACCTGTTTCATGAAAGACAGTTTTTCCATAGGCCAGGAGGTTTCAGAATGGTTTCTTTCTGAGGGTTTCAGAATGGGGGATGGTTTCAACATGACTCAAAGACATTAGGTTCAAGCTCACCTCCTGCTGTGTGGCCAGGTGTCTAGGCTCCTCACAAGCCCAACAGGTACTGGTCCACTGCGAGGAGGTGGAGTCCCTTGCCTTAAGGCATCTATATTCATTTATTCAGCCACTGTTTAAGTATCCAATGACTGGTATGTTACGACTCTTCTTTGGCAAATGGCCATGTCATTCTCATCAGATACTTGCTGAGAGATGCTATTCTGGGTTCTAGAATTCATAAGTTACCATCTTTTTCTTTGTAAATAAGTTTTATGTTTAATCATCACATAGGCATGCTGGTTTTTCTCCCGTGCTTTAAACAATGTAAGGAACTATTCTTGTAAAATTATCTTAAAGACTGATTTCACCAGCTGTATTAGTTTGATCATGCTGCCATAACAAGTTACCACAGATTGGGTGGCTTAAACAACTAGAAGTTTATTTTCTCACAGTCCTGGAGGCTAGAAGTTAGATATCAAAGGTTGTTTCTTCTGAGGCTGCTCTTGGCTTACAGATGGCCACCTTCTACCTGTATCCTCATATTGTCTTCCCTTTGTGTGAGTCTGTGTCCTAATCCCCTCTTCTTATAAGGATACCAGTCAGATATAATTTGTTCCCCTCCAATAACCCCATTTTAATTTTAAAATCACTCCAAAGACTCTTGCCTCCAAATACAGTTACTTTTAAGGTGCTAGGGTTTAGGACTTCAACATAAGAGTTTTGTGGCGACAGAGTTCATTTGTGATACCAGCTGTTCTCCTCTGCAGGAAAAACTGTAGGAACAGTCACAGCTTGACAACTGACCACAACATGAGTGTGCTGAAAACTCACGGCGTCGACCACCTCAGCTACAGTGAGCTCTGCCAGCTCTTGTTTCAGAATGACCCCTGGCTCTTGCCGGAGGTAAGTGCCAGGACCAGGTAGACATGTGAGCAGGGAATTGGAGAGAGGGCAGAAAGCTGGAAGATTGGAAATATTATGGCAGAAGTGAAGCCATGGCCCCCATCGTGATCACTGGGGTCCTCCTGGAGGAAACCTAGATTGTATTCCCAGCTCTGTGACGTTGGGCTAACGTCCCTTGAAGCCTCCTTTCCTTCTGTATCAGTTGGGCTTGTGCCTTCTTTCCAGGGCTTCTTTCAGGTTGGGGGATCCTGTTTGGCCAGTGGCTTTGGCAAGATGTAATTAATGCAGCTGAGGGGATGAAACACCAGCCAGCCCCTCCCTGTCTAGCAGGACTTGGAACCATACAGGTATCACTGGACCCAGTTGGGTCTGTGAAGATTTGTAGGGCTTTTGACCTGCAGATGATGTGCTACCTACTAATTCAGTTGCACGTAGGATTTTGAACTTTAGGTGATGTGAATTCTCATGTTGCATTTAAGGTAACCACTTGTTTCAAAGCTCACTGCCAGTGGCTATGTATGACTTTGGATCTTCCTAGAAACAGTCACCAAGATGGGATTAGAAGTGTAAGATTTATTAGGGGGTGAGCAGAAAAACTTGGGGTGAGCCTCAGGCAGTGATGCCAGTCTGACATCTGTGGCAGGAGAGGGAGAAGGAAGGGAACTGGGCAGAGAGTTATCCTGACTATAACCCATTTCCAAGAAAGCTTCTGCTGGGCCAACAGGCAGTTCTCAGATAAAGACTTAGCTGTTGGAGATGGCCTGCGCCTCCCCACGATGGCATGCTCCATTGTTGGCTGAGAGCATCTCACAGGAGTGTGGCCTCTATCAGTAAGGTAGTGGCTCCAGAGGGTAGCAGCTGGGCTGGGAGTTAGCTTTGCTCTGCAGCACATCTCAGCAGTGCCTTCTGTGGTCAGCCAGGTTACATGGGGTGCTCTGACACTGTTCCTGCAATGAGGAAACAGAAATTAGATTGGCATATTTTAACAAAAACACTTCTATATTATTCAGTTAAAATCATCGATTTGAGAAAGGTGCTGCATAGCATAGTGACTGGCACGTAATAGGCAATAACTTTTTTCTTTTGCCTTTCGAAAATTAGTATTAATTCAGCTAACCTTCATTGAATATCTTCTATGGGTCAGGCATGGGTGATAGGAGACAAAAGTCCCTCTTCTGCCTTTCCAGGAGGCGTGTTTCCCGGGTCAGACAGACAAGTCAGCAGATAATCAAAGTGCTGTTTCAGATGCTCTAATAGAAGTCAGTGCCCTGGTCTTGGAGGCATAGTTGGGTGCTGGGGAGAGTGTCCTGGAGTAGATGCTGCCTGTACTCGTAGCTGAAGGATGACTGAAGGATGAAGGTCTGAGAAGAGGGAGACAGACCAAGGAGGGAACTTGACATGGTCAGGAGACAGCATGTGGATCAGCACAACCTGGATATAGGGTTGAAGAAAAAGAAATGGGTGGGCAGAGGCTCATCCATGCAGCCTTCTGTGTCACAGGGAGGGAATGCGCAGGTGGTGGGGAGGTTTGTGCTTGCAGAGCGGGCATTCATGTTTTGGAGAGATCATCTTGTCTGTAGTGTGAAAAATGAATCAGAAGGTGATCAGTCTGGAGAGTATAGCTTCTGTGTGCTTGGGTGTATAGGTTGGTTCAGAACACAGTGACAGCAAATGGGAGCTGAGACCATAAACTCGGACCCGGTGCAGCATTTGCGTCTGGACCTCTGCTCTCAGGCCAGGCCCCTTATCAGATGACCAGTTGGAGGCCATCACCATGAATTGAGCACCCACTGTGTTCCAGGCATTATATTAGGCACTTTGTGTATTTCCCATTTAATCCTCACAATGGCCCAGCAACATACATAGGATTATTCCCATTTTTATGTATTGAAAAACTGAATCTCAGAGCTTGTGAGTGGCTTACCTGAGGAAGCTTGTATGTGGCAGAATCACTGTTAAGGTGCATCCTTCTCTGGCCTTTCCCTTTGGGGCTTCTGTTCCTAGAGTGGGGTCCCTGCTGAATCTTGTTCAGTGTAATACCTATGAATTGTGTGGGTGGGCCTTTAGTGGTCTCTGGCCCAGTTTACATCTCCAGGAATTTAGAGTGTACAGAAGGAGCAGTTGATTGAAGTTCAAGTCCCAGTTTTGCCAACAACCCAGTTCAACAGTCATTGTATGTTCCAGATGTGGTAGATTGCCCTGTGATCTAGGACAAGCCAGTTAATGTTGCTGAGTCTGTTTGCTCCCATGAGGAATAAAGGGCTGTATGTGGTCTTCTCTAAGATACCTGAAACCCTCAGAGCCTCTTTGACCCTGAGTTGTAGAACAAAGAGTTGGGAGAAACTGGGGCCTGAGTAGGGGAGAACTGGTGAAATCAGGAAGAGAAGGGTGTAGGTAGAGTGTAAAGGTTGTTAGGAGCTATTATGCAATTTACGTTAAAATGTCTCCTGTGAAGGAGCAGCTCTTATCAGTTTGAAGTTCTTTGGATTTTCCCAGTGGTGGGGCTTGTTCTGAGCAGTGTGCTGTCCACTCAGTTTCCATTTTAGCTAAGGGCGTATGTTAACAGTCATCCCTCTAGAGTGGGGGATATTCTCAGTGCTGTGCGGCTTATGAGGGTGATGGAATCACAGCAGTGGCTAGGTCTTTCAACCAGTAGACTGGTCAGTAGGGAGATGGTGTTATGTGAGGTCTTACTAAACTGCTGTTTTTTTCCTTCTCTGTCAACAGATCTGCCTTCACTACAACAAAGGAGATGGACTCCATGGCGCTTGTGCCTTTCAGGAGAAATGTAGCAAACTCCATGTCTGCCAGTATTTTTTACAGGGTGAATGCAAATTTGGCAAAGGCTGTAAGAGATCTCATAATCTCTCTAATCCTGAGAATCTGGAAAAACTGCAGAAGTTGGGCATGAGCTCAGACTTGGTGCCCAGACTGCCTTCCATTTATAGAAATGCTCATGACATCAAGAACTGGAGCTCTGTCCCAGGCTCACCGAAGACTTCTGGTAAGGCCCTGGGCTGGAGCTTCTGGATTCCAGGTGGCCCTTAAATTGAATGTGTGACTTTGTATAAGTCTGTGCTTTGTTTAGGAAAATGCTATTAGTGATCCCTTTCTAACTAGTAGGGGTTGTGAAGATGAGTTGAAATCATGGCTGTAAACAAGACAATCAAGAAAAATGCCAGTTGGTATTGACAGTGAATGATTCTATTGGGCTTGATCTGCACTGAGATGGGAGACTGCATCTCTGTGCAGTCGTTCCTCTGCCCCCTGGAGAGCTTGCCTGTCAATGTAGGACCCCAAGGTTAAGAATGCCCTGCTTCACAACTCTAGGGGCATCCTTTGCATTACATTCTGTTTTGATTTTTTTAAAAGTGGGTGCACAAGGTATAGTTTAATGCTGGTCCTCTTTTTGATAAAAATTAAGTGGAATTTTTTTTTTAGTCATGGTAAAACTGCTCATCTCTGTTACCTGGGCAGTGCCTGGCTCACAGTAGGCACTCAGACATTTGTTGAATGAATGAATGAGCATGCTAGGATAATTGTTATTTTTTTAAAAGGAATGTCAGGCTTACAGACAGGTACATGAGGGAATTCTGAGCAGAGATTGCTTCTGTAAGCATTTCTTGAGTACCTGTTGTGTGGGAAATGACTAACTTGATCCCTCACAGAGGTTAGGATTCATTGGTATCCCTTGCATTTCACAGTATTGGCCATTGGCTGGTCATTCTGGTTATCCATTGTTTCATTTAACAAATTTTAGAGATTGCTGTGTGGTAGTCACTGTCCTGGGCCCTGGTTAGATGTTGGCAACTGTGAGACATGGCTCCTCCCAGTGATGCACAGTCAAACCCACTTGTTAGCTGTAGTGATATTTGATTTTTAAAAGTCTCCCTTTATAAAATATTAGGTGTCAGGACTACCAGCAGATAAACTTATCACACCAATCTTATCTGATTTTTATATTTAACATTTATTCTTGATATATATTTTTGTACATTTTCTTTAATTCTGGTTAATTTCTTTCAGTACTAGGAAGCCTAGAAGTAGACAGGTTTTGCTTTAAATATATCTTGAAGAGTTCAGTTGGATTATGGAAGGTGACCTTCAGGACCCCACAGGGGTAGGTTTTGAGGCCCAACCTGTGAATGTCAGACAGGCCCATAAAAAGAAAAGGAAAGATGAATAACAAAATAACTAGAGAGGGTTTGCTATATGCTTGCTTATATTGTGGTGGGTGGGAAGTATTAAAAGTAACCAACTCACTTACATGCCCTTTTTATATTAAAATTATTATAATGAACCTAAAATAAATTCACATTTTATTTTGAGGGTAGGCTTTCCATTTATTCCTTTTTCCTTGGTATTGGTACCCAATTCTAATAGTTAATTAACAAGTATTTGCTATAAGAATTAAATCCAGTTTCTAAAATACAGCCCTCCATTTTTTGTCTGGTGTCATCACTGCCTTAGATACAGATGGCAGCTTATATATCTTAGATATGGATGGAATGTTAAACTTATCTCAGTGTTTGTGATGGTGGTTCTCCCCAGGTTCCACCCCTGGAGATTTTGACTGAGTCAGTTGGGGGCAGAGCCAGGCACTTCTATCTTTAAACCAGACTCCTCATGAGTTGGGTGTACAGCCAAAGCTGAGAGAAGAACTCCCATGGCATCCTATATTTGGCTTTGGGCTCCTTGGCTCCTACAAAGCAGAGAGCCCACCTGTATGTGTGAGGGTGCTTTCCTTCTAAGCATTAAAGGATTTTGTGGGTTGCTTGCCCACTTTTCTTATGCAGAGAGATGAATGAATCTTCATTTCTCTCTTTTTTCTTGTACTACTCCAACCCCATAAATGAAGCTTCCATGGAAGTTGATACATCTTTGTGATGTTTTTTTGTAGAAAGAAGAGACAGTTCCGGTTCTGTGTCCTCAACCACTACTAACCAAGAGGAGAACGATCAGATCTGCTTGTTCCATATCTGGAAAAGTTGTAGCTTTCAAGGTAAGTTTCAAGAAACCTCTTGATCCACATGTGGATGGAATGACTGCTTCTCATTCCTGGAGCTCTGTTCGGAGGCCATGCATAAAGTTCTCTTCTCATCCAGAGAAGGTAGGCCTTCTTAAACTGTGAGCTGGTGTGGCATTTGGCCAAAACAGTTCTGAAGCAGTTTTGTTGGGGAGTTGGGAATAGTAGGAATTATATGAATTTCTAAAAATCAAACGGTACGTGAATTTTGGGGGCTATGACTATTTGGTTCGTGCAGTGAGTGAACCCTTAGGCAGCTTAGCATGGCATTACAGATGTTCACAAGACACAGATACGCAGTTTAGTGGGAACAAAGATAAGTGTCCTTTATAAAGGGTAGTGGTGGACTTAGAGATGCCTTGGAAACTGGGAAGGCCCTTCCTGAGCAGGAGATACCCATGTTCACTCTTGGGGGACAAGTAATTGTTTAAGTTGGTGTTTTGTCTTTACAGTCCCTGTTTTATCAGAAGTAGCAATTCATGTGCCTATGTATGTGTTTATATTTTTACTAAACCTTTGTTTTCTTCTTACTGCTATCCTGAGCTTTGACTGAAGAATGATTCCTTCTCAAATTCCATGACTCCTCTTAAAAAACAACCACCACAACTTCTTGTTTCATTTTCAGTCTTTATAAACTACCCAAGCAATTCATGGACACTTTGACTTTGTAAAAGAGTCTAATAAAACAGAGTAAAGTCTGAAGTCCTCCTTCAGCCTTCCCCAAAGGTAAACACATGCTGTGTGGTCATGATATTTGTTTGTGTATTTTTCAACAGATGGGATCGTGTGACACATTATTTAATGTGCTTCATTTACTTAACATTGTGTCTTGGAGGTTTTTTCCATGTTAGTATGTGTAAGTCCACCTTGTTTTAATTTTAATTTAATTTTATTTTTTTAAAGACTTTATTTTCAGAGAAGGGAAGGGAGAAAGAAACGTCAATGTGTAGATGCATCTCACGCTCTCCCTACTGGGGGTCTGGCTTGCAACCCAGGCATGTGCCCTAGACTGGGAATCGAACTGGCAACCCCTTGGCTCTCAGGCCAGTGCTCAGTCCGCTGAGCCACACCATGCAGGGCTCCGCCTTGTTTTTAAAAACAATTGTGTGGTATTTGATTGAGTGATGTTCCATTGAACATCTGAGCACACATGTGCATTTCCATAGATAGATTCCTGGAACTGGAATGCCAAATCAAGGAATATGTGCCATAGATGCATATATGTGAATTTTAAAAATCAACACTGAGATCTAATTACCATACAATAAAATGCACCCATTTTATGTGTACACTCTTGAGTTTTGGTAAATGGCCCATGTAGCCATCACCATAATCTAGATATGGAACTGTTCCCGCATTCCAAAAATTTACTTATGCCCCTTTACAGTTAACCGTCACTCCTCAATTACCGACCCCAGGAAATCCCTGATCTACTTTTTGTTGCTGTAGGTTAGATTTGCCTTTTCTAGCATTTCATATAAACAGAATCATACAGCGTGTATTCTTCTATGCCGTCTTCTCTCACTCAGCATTTTTTTGAGGTTTGGTCATTCTGGAATATCCATAGTGTATCCCTTTTTATTGTTGAGTAGTGTTTCATTGCATGGATTGACTACAGTTTGTTTATCCATTCAGATATTGATGAACATTTGGGTTGTTACCTGTTTTTGGCTTTTGACAAATAAAGCTATAAATTTTCATGTACAAGCTTTATGTGGATATATGTTTCTGCTTTGGTAAAGACCTGGAAGTGGAATTATGGGATCATGTGATAAATGTGTGTTTAACTTTATGAAACACTGCCAAACTGTTTTCCAAAGTAAACATACTATTTTACCTGCCCACCAGCAATGTATGAGCATTCCAGTTGTTCTGCATCTTTGCCAACACTCGGTATTGTCAGCCATTTAAATTTTAACCATTCTAATAAATGAGTAATAATAGCTCACTGTAGTTTTAATTTGCATTTCCCTGATAATGAATGATATTTAACATTTATTTTCATGTGCTTATTGGCCATTTGTATCTTCTGTGAAGTATCTATTTAAATCTTTTGCTTCTTTTTTTTTATATAACTGCTTTATTGAGATTTTGAGTATAATTCACATACCATACAATTCACCTATTTAATAGTTTTTAATGTAGTCAAAAAATTGTGCAGCCATTTATCAGAGCCAATATTAAAACATTTCATCACTGCTGAAGAAACCCTGTAACCATTAGCAGTCACTCCCATCCTCCCCTCCCCTCAAGCTTCTTGCAACAATAGATTTACATTCTATCTGTATGAATTTACCTGGATATTTCATATAAATGGAATCATTCATTATGTGGTGTTTTGTGACTTTTTGTGATTTTTATTATTTTGCTCATTTTGGGGGTGTTTGATCTCGTTACTGAGTTGCAAGAGTTGAATATTTATACAAGTTATTGTCAGATATAGGTATTAAGAATATATTCTCCCAGTCTGTTCTTCCATGTTCATTTTCTTTATGGTGTCTTTTGAAGAATATAAAATTAATATTGATAATCATTTAAATATTTTTTAATGGTTTGTGTTTTATACCTTAAAATCTTTGCTTATTTCAAGTCCACAGAAAATGTTTCTCCTATGGTTTTTTTAAAAATTAGTTTTAGAGATTAAGCATTTCTCTTTAGGTCTATTACTCTTGATCTGTTTTCTCTAATAATTATTGATTTTTCTGTTAGCCACCTGCCTATGTAATTTTTCCTTCTGTCATGGATGACTTTTTAAAGATTCTCACCTGAGGATATATTTATTGATTTTAGAGAGAGCAGAGAGGAAGGGGAGAGAGAGAGAGGGAGAGAGAAACATTGATGTCAGAAACATGTATCACCTGTCAGACCCTCGTGCCTTGACCAGGCATCAAACTTGCAACCTAGCTATGTGCCATGACCAGGGATCAGACATGCAACCTTTTGGTGTGTGAGAAGACACTCCAACCAACAGAGCCATCTGGTCAGGGCAGTGGGTGACTCTTTGTTTTCTCCTCATGTTGGTACTCAGAATAATCCATGTGCCTGTGGTGGGGGTGCTGATTCTGATGCCAGGCTTAGTGGGGAAGAGGCAGTACATCTTGCTTGGTGGGAGGCCTGGTAGGGTATATCCTAGGACTGGGGGTTTTGATGGCTCCCTCACCAGCTTCTCTCTCTGTAGCCTTTGTATCTATACTCACATGTTCCATGAGACAAATAACAAGGTTGCTGAGCACAAGCAAGGCACTGAGGGATTACCTGCTCTGGTGGGTCCCAATTACTATTGTAATTGCCTGGATGTCGTCGTGCTCCTTGTTACATTGAACTTTGAGTTGGTGAAACCTGCAGACCCTTCCCACTTCTGCAGTAGCTCTCTTCTGCATACTTCGCATGTGCTTGTCTCTCTCCTTTTTCTGTATCAGTTTGAATCTGTTTCATATTTTTAGGAATTCTTCAATAAATATAGTATTTTGATGGGATGGTTTATTGTTTTCTAGTGCTTTTGGATTTATGTTCATTGGTCTGTCATTTCAAGGGCTGTAGGGAGAAAGGGGATGTAAATACAGTTACTTTGCTGAACTGTTTGGTTTCTGTGGCTCACCTAGAAAGCCTAGACTCTGGAATGCCACAGTGAGGTGGGGGAGTGTTAGCAGAAAGGAAGGAGACAGAAAAAGGGGACAGGAGGACAGATATGGCAGAGAAGGGGCCTCATGCCTCCATCACTGAGCTGGGACTCGGCTCTTGCCAGCCACTGTGGTTGTGATGGCCCGTGTGCACCCTCCTTTCCTAGCACCTTCTGGCTCGTGAGCAGCTGTGGCTCTATGCTCAGATTAAGAACCAAAAGGCTTGAACCTGCTGTTTGACCACAATGTCTTCCCTTGGTCTTCTCAGTGAAGCATCAGCCTGAAAGGCAGTGGGTGGTGACCCTTCCCTGGAAGTATCTTCTGAAGGGGAGAGCCTTTCTTCAGGCCATCTAGGATTCACCTGTGCTGGGGTGTATAGAGGTGGTGACTGAACACTTAGATCATTTCCTTTACTGCCCCTCAGAAGAAAATAGGAAATCTTATTTGGTTGTGACCCCTGGACCACAGTTACGACCTCATCTACCCAGGCTGAGCCCTTCATTATCACTCTTATGTACACTGTAGTCAGGAGTCCAAGAGGCTCTAACTCTGGACAAGTCAGGATGTGGCTGTATCCAGCCTTGCTGAACTTGGAGGAGATTCCTTCAGTTAGGGTCTCTCCTCTTGGTCTCTGTCCTCTTAGCCAGGTGCTCTCTCCTGCCTGCTTGGCCTGGCCCCAGGCCTGGCCTTTCCCACCTTCCTCCATGGTCCTTCCACCACCACCACAGAATTTCTGGGGAAGAGTAGTATTGAGATTTACTTGAAAGAATGCTTAAAATTTTAGAATATTTTAATTATTTCCAGGCGTCAAATTAGCCAAGCTTCATTGTTATTTTGAGAGGTGAATTACAAATGTTAAAAGGACAGTTATTAAGAAATGTCTCCCTCACATCTCTTTCCCCAGTACCTAGATCTTCTCCAGAAAGTCATTATTACCAGTTCTCTTAATATTCTTTCACAGAAGTTTTAAATGTGTACAAGTGTATATGTCTAGTCTGTTTCCTTTGTACACAGGTGCACTGTGCACACTGTTAGGTCTTTTTTCACTTACCCAGAAGTTTAATTTCTTGGAATATATAATATATGTTTTGGTTCAAAATTCAAAAGATGCAAAAAACAACAGAAATCTTTCCTCATAATTCTGTTCTGGCCACCCAGTTCCTGCAAGGAATAGTATGTGCATAGATGTGTATTTAGTCAAAATATCTCCTTTTTTTTCTTTCCCCCAAAAGAGGCATTCTGCACCTTGTTGGCTGTCTTGCTACCTAATAGCATATGTCTTGGAGGCAGACCCATAGCAGGGTGCACAGAGCTTCCCATTGTTTTTCTTTCCTGTCTCTCTTTCCTCTCACAACATTCCTCTGTATGGATGTACCAGAACCTTATAGAGGATATTGAAAGGTAGGGAGAGGGTGTGGGTGGCATTCTGGGTGAGGGTTCGGTGTACATCCAGACAAAGCATACTGAAGTGCTAGGAGCGAGTGAGGCCCTGGAGAGCACAGGGAAGGTGTAGGGGGAGCAGTCAGCTGAAACCCATAGACTTGGGCCATTCATTATGTATATACCTGCAGGGGCAGAGCAGTGTAGTGTATAAAGACCTTCAGAGGTGTGGGGACATGTTGAGGAGAGGTTGAGTATGTTAGCAGCCAGAAAGACCAATGTGTACTGCAAACACTCTGCTGACCCACTTGAGGTCAAATATATCCAGGGTTGGGATGGTAGAGATAAAGCTGGTTCTGTTTTTGGTGTGATTGCCACCTGTTCACCTACCATATGAATGGCAGTAATGCATAGTCAGACTGCCACCTGCAGGTATGGAACCTTTGACCTTCTCATGATCAGCTTCTTTATTATCATGAGATGAAATACATATATAATGTAACCTGGCAACATGAACTGTTTGAAAAGTCAGTGTAATGTCCTGTTAAAAAGGGAGATATAAAAATAAAATGTATATAATAAAATTTATACTATTTCAATATCTAAGTGTTTAGATATGACTGTACTAAAAAAGACTCCCTCACAGGTTTCTATAACATTCCCAGGTCAGCACGCAGCACTACACTCTTTGAGAAACATGGGACCTAGGTCATGTTGTCTAATGCCAAAATGTCGTCTTTATATTTTTATTTTAGATAAATGCAGTAAAGTTCATTTCCATTTGCCGTATCGATGGCAGTTCTTGGATGGAGGCAGGTGGAAGGATTTGGATAAAATGGAGCTTATTGAAGAAGCATATAGCAATCCCAATAAAGACAGGTAGGAAATACATGACTTATGTCTGCTTTGTGCCTAGGCTTTTGCGTGCAATGTGGGAAGTTTAGACCCTTCAGGGTCTAGTGTTTGTGGCCTTCACAAACTCACACAGTAAGCTGCCTGGTCTGCAGATGGAAAGCTCTGGGCTGGGATCTGGAAGTTAGTCTTCATACTGGGGGTGTGGTGCCTCTGTTCTCCCATCTTCCTCTTCTTTCAGGGGGAAGCTGTGAGGGAAAGATGTGATGGTAACAAGTGAATTCTGAATTATTTGCAGTCGGGACTAATCATGTATATATATCTTTGATTGGTTCAGAAGAGTGATAGGCAATCATTTGTGAAATTTTAGCCTTTGCCTGTGAAGTCATACAGCTGGACTGCTGTTTATCCAGCCTTTAACTTTATTGTTTTTCTGTGTCCCATCACAATCACTTTACATATATATATATATGAGGTCTGTCCAGAAGGTATCCAGTCATGTAATATGAAAAATAGAGACATTTATTGAAGAAGATAAAAGAAACGTTGTACAAAGGGTAGTGACATCTCAGTCCCTTTCAAAGTAGGCACCTTGGGATCTCACACAGTTCTCCCAATCATCATCAGCTGCCCTGTCGTATTTTCCTGAATGTCATCCATGGCCTGAAATCTCTTCCTTTTCAAAGGTGATTTTAGTTTTGGGAAAAGCCAAAAGTCTCAGGGCACCAAATCTGGGCTGTGGGGAAGCTGAGTCACCTGGGTGATTTGATGTTTTGCCAAAAAACTCTGCATGAGATGTGACGCATGAGCAGGCATGCTGTCGCGATGAAGCTGCCAATCACCAGTTGCCCATAGCTGTGGCATTCTGAATCATCCAAATAGTTTCCATGGAGGAATGTTCAGGCTTAACACAAAATTTGATGCAGATTTGTTGCTCTCCCTGTTCAGTCATTTTCAATGCGACAGCCACACAGTACACAGTCTCACTCAGTGGCATCTGCCACCACCCTTGACTAGTAGAGTGAAGTCATCATTGTTCACACATGCACATTCCGGTCCACTCTCCTTGGCTGTCAGGTTATATTGATGTCACACAAACCATTCTTGTTACATTAACAATGGCTGGAATTTTTCCAGATAGACCTTGTACTGCAAAAACGATTACCACAATAAATTAACATTCATCACTGCATATAGTTATAAAAGACTTATTTCCTTGTGATGAGAACTTTTATAATCTACTCTCTTAGCAGCTAGGAAATATACCATACAGCATTGTTAACTGTAGTTATCATGTTGTACTTTATATCCCACCTAAAAAATTCTGTTTTCTCTCCACTGATGTGTAGAAATGGAACTTACATTTGTCTAATCTTGTATCTTGCAACTTTCCTAAAATATCTTAACTCAGAAGAATCTATTGTTAATATATGTGAAATATCTGTATAGTTATTTATATATTCTAGATAACCATATGTAGAAATTAATGTAATTGGTGAATACCATTTTTATTTCTTTTTCATTCTTATACAATTTATTTTGTTTTATTGCCTTATTGTAATGGCCAGGACCTCCTGTATCATGCCAAATAGAAGTGGTAATAGCAGAAATGTTATTCTTTTCATTTTTTTCCTCTAATTTTAAAAGTAGTAAATTTTAAATGTTAAAATGGTGCTCACTTAAGCATGAGTAAACATTTGGAACCTTTGGCCTTTTTAAGGAGTTCTAGTTTTATTCCTCATATGCATGGAGTATTTTTAAAATTATATATTTAAATTGAATTTTATTGAGTGCTGCTTCTGCATTCATGAGAAGCCCATGTTTTGTTAATGCAGGGAATTACATTAATTTTGTAATGTTAAGTTCACCACATACCTGGGCTTAAGTCATACTCAGTCAGGATACACTTGCTCATACACTCACACTCACACAGTGGTGAATTTGGATTGCAGGTATTTGGTTTTAAGATTTTTGCACCTATGTTTGGTAAGATTGGTTTATAATTGTTTCATATTATCTTTGCCCAGTTTTTTATCTTAAAGAAGTTTCTAACTTCCTAAAAATGACACTGGGATAGTTCCTTTTCAGTTCTTTGAAAAAAAATTATGTAAGATCAGAATTCTTTTTTTCCTTAATGAATGATGATAAGAATATCTAAGCCTAATATTTAATTAATGGGAGGATTTTAAACTGCTGTTCCAATTTCTCATCATTGGTATAGAACCAGTCAGGTTTTCTGTTTTTCCAGGAGTCAGTTTTGGTAAGTTCATTCCCAGGAGTTTGTTCACTTTATTTTCAAGCCAATTGTCATAAGGTTGCTTGTAATAGTGATAACCTCTTAGTTTCTATGGCATTTTTGCCCCTTTTACATTTCTAATATTTTCCCCTCCACTTTTTCTTGATCAATCTTGCAGACATATATTAATTTTACTAATATTTTCCTTTTTTAGAAGAACTAATTTTTGTCATTTTTTTGATTTTATATATTAGAGAAACCATGGTTTATTTCTCAGTGTATTTTAAAATTTGTTTGTTTAATTTCAAATGATTTGCATTGTGATCAGAAAGTATAGAGCATATAATAACAGATTCTTTGAATTTTGTTGTTAGTTGCTTTATGGATGTAGACATGGTCAGTTTTAGTAAACGTTCTATGTACGCTAAAAGTTTTTTGGGTGCAGTGTTATATGAAGTATATTTGTTATGTGGTTCAAATATTCTATATCCTTATTGATTTCTTTGCTGTTTTAATCAGTTACCCACAGCAGTATGATAACACTATACATTTGTCATTTTCTCCTTGTAATTTCATCAATTTTTGTGTTATTTATTAAAAACTGGAGCATTGTCCTGTTAGATTTCTGGTCAGGGCACATACCTAAGTTGTGGGTTTGGTCCCTGGTAGAGGTATATATGGAAGGCAACCAGTTGATGTTTCTCCCATCAATGTCTCTGTCTCTCTCCCTGCCCCCCTTTCTACCTCCCTATCCCTATCCCATCCTCCCCTTTAAAATCAGTAAAAGCATATCTTTGGATAGGATTTTAAAAATATTGTTGTAAAGCATATACAAGTTTAACATTTTTATCTTCATAGTAACCTAAGCCTGTTAATGTAGTAGATGCTTTTTTTATTTCTAGTAATGATTTTTGCTTCAACTTTGTTTTGTTTGCTATTTACTATGCTAGCCTATATTAGTTATTTACTGTAATTTCAAGGCTTTTTGTCATATTTTAGAACTGATTCCTGTAAACATATAACTTTTCCAGTTTGATAGTCATAGTCTTTGAATTAAAAGCTAGTTTACTTAAATTTATTGTGATTACTTATACATTTGAATTAATTTTTACTATCCATCTTGATTTTTGCTCTTTGACCTGCTTTTTCCATGTCTCTCTTCTTTTTTTGGTTTTCTCTTAGATTTTTTCCTTCATTTGATCTTTTTTTTAATCTGTTAGTTTGGAAGTTTGTATTGAATATCTCTGTTCTTTCACTTGTTACTCTAGAAATCTAAACAGATCCTTTAACTGAACAAACTTTAGTTTAATAATTTAAACTAATTTATACTTTTAATCATTCTCTCAAATTATAAAAGAATCTTGAACATTTGAATTCTGAGGTAGTTCCATTCAAACTTTTTTATTACTTATATGAATTTGGGCAAATTAGTTAACCCTCCTGTGCCTCAGTTTTCCCATATGTCAAGAAGATGAAATAATAGTTTCTGTATCATCGGGTTATTTTGAATTAATATATGTAAAACAGAACAGTGCCAGGCATATAAGATGTGTATATATGTGTTGCTTCTATTCTTTTTTTTTAATCCCAGAAATTAGAAGTTAGCATTGTTTTAATATAGTAAATATTTGTTTCAACTTACACATATATCATTTTATTTTGCGCTTAACGTTCCTTTGCCATATATTTCCTTGTGGATCATTTTCTTTAAAAAAAAAGTTTAATTTTTAGAGAGAGGAGAAGGGAGGGAGAAAGGGAGAGAAACATCCGTGTGTGAGAGAAACATCTGTTGGTTGCCTCTTGCACACTCCCAGCTGGGGACCTGGCCTGCAACATAAGCATGTGCCTTGACAGGGAGTCAAACCAGTGACCTTTCAGTTCATACGCTGGTGCTCAGTCCACTGAACCATACCAGCCAGGGCCATTTTCCTTTTTTAGTTCATCTCCTAGAAGTTGCATTACTAAGAATCTAGTGGCAAATATGTTTTTTATTTGTCTGAAAGTATCTTTATTTCATCCTCACTCTTATTTTTAAATGTTTTATTGATTATGCTATTACAGTTGTCGCATTTTTTTCCTCCCCTTTATTCCCCTCCGTCCTACACGCACCCTCCCACCAGCATCCCTTGCCCCTTAGTTCATGTCCATGGATCGCACATATAAGTTCTTTGGCTTCTCCATTTCCTGTACTATTATTCTTAACTTCCCCCTGTCTATTTTGTATGTACTATTTATGCTTCTTATTCCCTGTACCTGTTCCCTTATTCTCCCCCCTTTTCCTCCCCTCTGATAACCCTCATGTGATCTCCATTTCTGTGATTCTGTTCTGTTCTAGTTGTTTGCTTAGTTTGTTTTTGTTCTTGTTTTTAGGTTCAGTTGTTGATAGTTGTGAGTTCATTGTCATTTTACTGTTCATAGTTTTTGATCATCTTTTTCTTAGATAAGTCCCTTTAACATTTCATATAATAAGGGCTTGGTGATGATGAACTCCTTTAAATTCACCTTATCTGGGAAGCGCTTTATCTACCCTCTCATTCTAAACGATAGCTTTGCTGGGTAGAGTAATCTTGGAAGTAGATCCTGGCCTTTCATGACTTTGGATACTTCTTTCCAGCCCCTTCTTGCCTGCAAGGTTTCTTTAGAGACATCAGCTGATAGTCTTATGGGAACTCCTTTGTAGGTAACTGTCTCCTTTTCTCTTGTTGCTTTTAAGATTCTCTCCTTATCTTTAATTTTGAGTAATGTGATTATGATGTACCTTGGTGTGTGCTTCTTTCGGTCCAACTTCTTTGGGACTCTCTGAGCTTCTTGGATCTACTGGAAGTTTATTTCCTTCACCAGATTGGGGAAGTTCTTCATTATTTTTCCAAATAAGTTTTTAGTTTCTTGCTCTTCTTCTCCTTCTGGTACCCCTGTGATTCAGATGTTGGAACCTTTAAAGTTGTCCCAAAGGTTCCTAAGCCTCTCCTCATTTTTTTTGATATCTTGTTTCTTCATTCTGTTCTGATTGAATGTTTATCTCTTCCTTCTGCTCCCAGTCATTGATTTGAGTCCTCGTTTCCTTCCCTTTACTCTTGGTTCCCTGTATCTCTTTCTTTATTTCACTTAGTATAGCCTTCACTTTTTCCTCCATTTCGTGACCATAAGCAACCATTTCTTTGAGCATCCTGATTACTAGTGTTTTGAACTGTGCATCTGATAGATTGGCTCTCTCTTCATTGCTTAGTTCTGTTTTTGGAGCTTTGATCTGTTCTTTCCTTGGGCCATATTTGTCTCAGTGCACCTGTTACATTGGAAGGGGTGGAGCCTTAGGTATTTGCCAGGGTGGGGCAACCCAGATCACTGCGTGGTGACGCTGTATGTGGGGGAGGAGTCTGAGAGGGAACAGTGCCACTTGCTTGGCTCTCCACTGGCTTTCAGCCACTTCTCCTGCTACCCACAAGCAAATTGGGCCCTTCTAGTGCTGATTCCCGGTGGGTGGGTGTGTGTACACTCTAGGACCCTGTGGTTCTCTCCAACAGACTTTCCTGTGAGGCTGGGAGTTTCTCCTGCTGCCGCATCCTCCACAGGTTTTTACAGCCTAAGGTTTTGAAGCTTTATCTCCTGCGCTAGAACCCTGGGTTGCATAGTCTGTCTCCTCCTGGTTCATCCTCCTACAAATGTGGGACTTCCCAGTCCACCAGCTGTCACCTTGCCCACCTGGTCCTTCATGTGCCGTCTTGCTGTGTGTCTTTTCTGCCCTGGTTGCCCGTCTCCGCCTCTTCTACTGTGGATGAATGTTTCTTCTTTAACGCCCTGGTTGTCGGACTTCTACACAGTTTGATTTTCTGGCAGTTCTGGTTATTTTTTGTTTTTAAGTTGGCTGTTGTCCTTCTTTTGGTTGTGTGAGGAGGCAAAGTGTGTCTTCCATCTTGGCCAGGAGTCTCGTTCTCTCTCTTGAAAGAGTTTTATTGGGTATTTTCTTTCAGCTCTTTAAAGATTATCCCATTGTTTTCTGGCTTTCATTGCTTTGATTTAAAAGTTAGTTGTAAGTCTAATGTAGGTATAATAATTTCCTAGGACTGCTTTACCAGTTACTACAAACTTCGTGAGTTAAAACAACAGAAATTTATTCTGTCACAGTTCTGGAGGCTAGAAGTTAGAAATCATGGTGTCAGCAGGCCCATACTTAAACAATAAACACTCAGCATACATAAATATTGTTATATTGGGGTATGGATTTCCCTTTCTTGCTAGCTCAGTAGTGCATTAAAAATTTTTTTTACCTAGCATTTTCTCTGTAGTGAAAGGAATGTTGTGATGAGTTTCCCATTTTACCTTGATTTTATTATTTTTGAATGGCAAAATGGATCTTAAAAAGCAGTCCTTCCCTCCCTCCTTGGAAACATTTTTTTAAATGTGTGTGTCATGTTATTGTTCACATCTACCAGCTGGGTGGAAGATGAAAGGCCTATGTTCATTTTGATGGTGGAATTTTAAGTGTACCTCTCATGCTCTTTTGCAGAGTCATGTGTGCTGATTCGGTCAATAACTCTCACCGTGAGTATCTGAACTTTGAGTCTATGAAGTTCGGCACTGCCCAGGCCCGCCGCCTCTCTACAGCCTCCTCAGTCACCAGAGCTCCACACTTCATCCTCACTACTGAGTGGGTTTGGTACTGGATTGATGACTTTGGTTTTTGGCAGGAATATGGAAAACAAGTAAGTGTGATGGAAAGAAGGCAGGTTTTTCCTCCTAAGGATCCATATGAAGGAGGCTTGTCAAACACATGCACAAGGATAGTTCTGGGGGATCAGTGAAAGAGCCAAGGTCTCCAGATCACCTGACTCACCTGCTTTGGGGGGAACTATGGCAAAACTAGCTAATTTGGAGTCCATTTATCTGAGGTTTCATCATTGAACTATTCAGTATCTGTTGGCTCATGAGATTAGAATGATTAAAAGTTGTAGTGAGATCACGTTTCTTCATTGGTTTTGTTAAATGGGGGTAGGAAGGTGCTTCTCTTACTGTTGAACAGGGAACTCTGGAGTGAGTGCCTATGTGTGCAGGAGTGTTTGTATAATAAAGTTTAAGTTTACAGAATAAAGTTTAAGGCTTTTCAAAGCTTGCTTTCCACCTTACCTGCAGCAGCAACTTTACTGAAGGTGGGCAAGAATGAGAAAGTGGATTTATTTCAGGTATTGATTTGGAATCTCAATCAAATAACTGCTGCTGTCAATTATTTGAAGATGTTCACGGATGGATCAGATTAAAGGGAGTCCCCTGGTCACCCACAGAGGTGCAAAGTATAGGGAGGTCATCAGTCACCATTTCTGTAAGAACAGTCTCTCCAAAATGGAAATTGGGGTATGTGGTCCAGTGGACATTTGTAGTTTTTGGGGGGTTGTCAGAGGCTGTGTTTGATCTATAGTTTATTATTCTCAGATGCACTAAGAGGATCTCCTCCTGAAACATTGTAATGGGAGCTTCATGAGTCAGGGAGCTTTGTCTCTCTTTTGCTACTGATATGCCCCCATGTCAAGCATGATACCTGCACCTAGCAGGTCCTCATGAATAGGTGTTGGCTAGTTGAAGGACAGAAATATTGTTTCCTTAGACCCATTGGTCAGTTGGAGATAGTCACTCTCAGTGGTGGCCTCATGACCTGAGCTTCATTCTTTGCTTCCATTTCTTCCAGCATCAGCCTGTCCTCATTGGCTGTTCCATCTACGCTCTTTCCCACATGTTTCCCCTTCTCAAGCATCCTGGGATTCCACTAACCTCTCCTGCCACGGGGATTTGGTCAGGGAGTCTCTTTAGCATTATTCTCGGTTTGACTAGTAGCAGGAGAGAGGCCATGTGGGGCATTGATGAGGGGAAATGGATGTTGGGTTGGTCACACTCCAGGAGTCAAGTTTATCTGGCAACAGCATGGAAGGATGCATGGCAGATGAGAAACACTTAGGATATGTGATCATCTTTCATGTTTATTTGGAGATCTGTCTCCCTCTGAGGGAGACAAGCTCTCTGGGAGCCTAGTGGGATGACAAAAGACCCTGGGGGTAACACATGAACAAGTACATTTCTCTGGGTGGCTTCCCAAACTTGGTGTCACTTTGGGGACTAGGGGCCTTTCTCCTCCAAGCAGCGCACACTTAGGGTGTTCTTTTCTATGCCATTACTCTTAATGCAGTGCAACTAGAGTGTATAACCTCATTAGAACAGTGAAGAATCTCTGGGGATGACTATGTGGGTATGATTGACCACCACTTGCTGGTGGGTACAGATACACATATGTAGACTTAGCAATATTCAGCTCCATGTTCTTAGTTTGTCCTGTTAGGGAAACCACCTCATAAGATGGCCTGTCTATTCTAGCCCTTCCTTTCTTACATACTTCTGTTGTCACCCCATATTTATATTTCTTTCTTAGTTTTCTGCTAATTGCCAGCTCAAGATAGTTTTCTCTTGATTCTCAGAAAAGCTAGGCTCTTTTCTGCCTGTGCTCAGGAGGTACCCCAAATTTCAGGTCTAAATTGCCTCTGCCATATTACTACAGCTGCCATGACAAAGTACTACAAACTGGGGCGGGGGGAGTACTTAGAACAACAGTGATTTATTATCTCACATTTCTGGAGGCTGGAAATTGAAATCAAGGTGTCTATAGGACCATCCTTCCTCTGTAATATGTAGGGAATCCTTCCTTGCCTCTTCCTAGCTTCTGGTGGTCTGCTGGCAAACTTTGGTGTTCCTTCATTCCATATCACTCCAGTCTGCCTTTGTCATCATCTGGTGTTCTCCCTGTGGATCTTCATATGGCTATCCTTTTACAAGAACATAAGTCATGTTGGATTAGAGGTCCATCTTAACTAATTATTGGGTGGGCCAAAAAGTCCATAGGGGTTTTTTCCCCCATAAAATAAGACACATTTTTCATTTTCACCAATAACTTTATTGATTTGGATATTTTGAGTAGGTCAGCTGTCTCCTGCATGGTATAACATTGATTGTTCTCAGTTAATGTCTCAGTTTGATCGCTATCAACTTTAACTGGTCTACCCAACCATGGAGCATCATCCATTAAGAAATCTCCAACACAAAACTTCACAAACCACTTTTGACATGTTTGGTCAGTCACAGCATCTTCTCCATACACTGCACCAAGCTATTTTGCTTTTCAGTTGCATTTTTACCTTTTTTGAAATAATAAAGCATAATATGCTGAAAATGTTGCATATTTTCTTCCATCTTCAATATTAAAGTGACTATACAAAAATTCACCAATTTTGATATTTTTTTTTAAAAAAAAAGCATGCTGATGTGACAGCTGTCACAATGCAATCTAACAAAATTGTTTCAAATGAAGATAAAGACAACTAAGCACTACTCTAGCCATCTTACAGAAAAAAACAAACTTTTTGGCCAACCCAGTACATCTACAATGACCTTATTTCCAACTAAGGTGACATTTTTGAGGTACTGGGGATTAGGGGGCACAGTTAAACCCACAGCCTAATATTGTGTATAAAAGAAATGCTGTTCTTGGCCCACTGAACAGGAACTGTGTTAAACTTGATGTTCCTGAGGTGGTTGGCTCCAGGATGCGTTACCCCAACCTAAATCCTCTTTGGCTTATTTTCAACAGGCTTCTCATGTCAGTTTACCTTTTCCAATTTCCCCTTTCCTATGACCTCCCCTGCTTCTATCCAAGACTTCCACAATTGTTTTGACCCTTTTGTACCTGAACAATCCATCCATCTGCTTGGAAGGAAAGACCCCCACTTATTTTTCCACTTTCCAGAATCTGACTTCTATTCCGATTACTGTTCACCCGGTCACCATTTCAAGAGTGCCTTCAGGAGGTACGACCCAGCCAGGCATAGCCCTCACTGAACCATAGACACTGACAAGGGGCAGAGGGCTCAGGTGCCAAATCACAAGGCACTTTGCCCAGAGTGCTGCTCACTTGCTCCTCCCTCTCTTGGCGTTCTTGCTTCCCCGCTGTGTCCTTCATGGGCTTCTTTTCTACTCCCCTTGTTGAGTGTTGGGATTTCTGGGGTCTAGCGCACACCCCCATTCTTCCCACTTGTGTGTTTGCACTAGTGATTACATCAGTTCTTCTGACAGGGGTGTTCACATTGAGTGAGCTTCATATCTCTGTCTTCAGGCCAGATTCCTCTTAAAAAATGAGACTTGTGTATCCAGATGCCCACTTGATACTTTTGCAGTACCTTTGCTTTTTGTTCTGGTTGCTGTGCTATGTGCCCTGCATGCCTTATTTTAATTATTTTCCAACCTTTTGCTGATGGTATGATTCCATTGTGTAATGTTATGAGTATGATTTAAGTACTGCTATTATTCCTGTTGTAGAGTTGAGATAATTGAGGTTCAGAGAAGTTAAAGTAACTTGCCTGCGTTATAGAGAAAACAGATTTGGGGCAGGAATTCAAACTCAGTCCATTTAAAAATCTTAGATGTCCTGTAGGTAATCAGAATGAGGATGAGAGATCAAAATGTTTAATTGAAAAAAATAGAAGAGCTCTCCAAGGGATCAGAAAAAGAAAACAAGGAGGACTTCCCTCTGATTAAAGAATGGCGGGAACAAGACTGATGGAGAAGAGGCAGCATTTGAGAATTCATTGTTGATGTTTTACCTTCATTTGATTACTGTATCATCCATTATGAGTAACCAAATGCCTTTTCCTCCACTGCTCCCATGGTGGTTTCCTGGTTATGAGCACCCATATTTACAGTTTCCTATTTTCCCAGGCAGCTTTTAGGAAGTAATTGTGTTGGTTTCTATTCTATGTCTCCCTTTCCTGCCATATCCCTGCTCTTCTCATGCGTCCCCCATGACGCCAATACCACCACGGGCATCTCTGCAATGTGGCAGGGACAGCAACAATGTATGTCCTCATCATTGTAGATTCTTGTCTCATGAAGTATCTGGTTTTTCACCTTGCAGGGCGTGGAGCACCCCAAGACTACTGTTTGCAGCAGCAATGTGGAGAAGGCCTACCTGGCATACTGTGCATCAGGGTCTGACACCCAAGCAGCTGTTCTCAAGTTCGAGGCTGGAAAGCACAAATACAAGTTGGACTTCAGAGGTACTTACTGACACTCTGCCTTCACCCAGCAGGACCTGGCCATCTCTTGGCTGTGTTATTCCCCTGTTAACCCTGGAGGAGCTTTGTACACACGAGGGCCAGGAAAGAAAAGGAAGGGTAGTCTCTGCTGCTAAAATGCTTCCCATCTGGAAGAGGAGACAGACCTATAAGCAGATAACACCAGTCCAGTAGAGTCAAGGAAAAGCTGCCTAAGGGGATGTGGGATAGGGGTAAGAGAAGAGGACCCTGAGGAAGGGACAGGAGCCCAAACAGTGAAGGGAAAAAGCAGGTCAGCCTTTGTATACTGACGGTTGTCCTGTTGGCCATAGCCAAGCCCCTCTGTGTCTGAGGATTAACCTTAGTCCCTGACAAGTGTCATAGTGATTCTGCCATGCAGCTTTGCCTTATACTTCCTGATGTGGCAAGGTTAGCATCTTTTCAAAAGGAACCTTTGGCATAGATGGGCTGTCAGGTTAAATATTTAGTAGACACATACATTATAAAAAGTTGCTTGGAAACATTTTTTTGTGCTCATGATGACCTGAAACGGGGCCTTATATTACTTGTCTGTTTTGTCTTGACATAAGCAGGCCACGTACTCTTTGGCCAGGTCCTCTAGTGACCGATTTGTGAGGATTTTTTTTTGAGTTTCAGTTTTTCAGTAACTTAAGCCATTTCCAGGTGGATTTATGAGTCCAGCCTTGTTTGATTCATTTTTGCCTTTAAATATACATTTAAACTCTGAATCCTCTGAATGATCAGCATTTTTGAAGGGAGTTAAAGTAGGCTTTCCTTTAAACACAATTGACTGTTTTACCTATTTTTATGGACCTTGAACCTATGTGGATGGCAGCAAAGTGTCTTTAGTGAATTATCCTAAAGCCACTTTAACTGCTTGTTGTTAGCCAGTTTTTGTTTGTGGTTTTGTAGCACTGGTGGTTTTGCTTAAGATAGAGTGGCTGCTGCCTCACTGGGCCCTTATAGGGATCCTAACGTGTCTACTGCTCTTCAACGAGAACTGCTTATCAACCTTGAGCATCTGTTGGCAAACACCAACCAATCCAGTCTGATAAACACAAGTTCCCCAAAAGGGACATTGAAAGAGATGCAACAAAGTAAAAGTAAGGACTGCCCTGAAGATTGAGTCTATATAACGATCACCCATCTGATTGCTAGTTTGAAATATTTGTTAAAATATCTGGGGAATATCAAAACAAATCAAAATTGTCAGATGGAACCTTGATCACTCTCAACTGAGGCTGCACCTCCAGGTGACAGAATGGAGAGTCGGGTGAGGGTGGGGAAGAGCACACGCATTCAGTTGACTACAAACTGCAGGAGAAGCACGTGCACCGCTGACTGCCTCAAGCTCACCTGGGTAGAGAGTTTTGTTGTTGTTGGTAGGTAAGAGTAGCTACAAAAGAAGCTTGAGATTGGGTAAATTTTATCCTTACAACCTTACAACAAGGTATAATGAAAGCAAGTTTTAGACCCAAATCTGCCACTCACATTTATTAACTAAATACTATTAGGAAACAGGTACATATAAGAAACACACAAGAGGCAAAATGACTTGTTCTATAGGATCAGCGAAGATTCAGCTGTTTTTTAGGGACTCCTGTCACAGAAGAATGACTCAGGACAAACACCAAGATTCTAGAGGCCAAATTCTAATGTTAGTTAGTTTGCACCAGTCAGACAGAATCTGCACAGGTAGGGCCTGCTTAGGGACTTAACCTCTTGTATCCTCTTTAAGGGTATATTAGGGTAAAGGCCTCACTTTATTCTGTCAATGGGAAGATAGGGAACGGGGTCATACATATTTCGCCAGTCCACGTGTTGAGTAACTTTTAATCTCACTAGTAAAAAGCCTATTTAAGAGTCAAGACAATGTTAGTCCACAGGTCAATAAAATTTGTATGTTAATTGATATATTGATGAGAGTTGAATAGTGGATAACAGAAGGGGTTGTGGTAGCAAGGTCTGGAGTATGGGCTCTCATCAGAACATGGGGTAAGCTCTAGGAGTACCCGATCTTGACAACCACCTGGGCAGTAGCATAGGGGATATATACATCAAATGCAGTAAGGTAAGTTATAGATATAGACCAATTAATATTAAAATGCTTTTTAAATGAAAAAAATTAATGTACTCTAGGTGTATAAAGTAATACTTGATAGGGTTTTCTTGGTAGGTGAGGAAGAGTAAATCTGACTTGTAGGAGGTATTTGTAGTTTTCTAACTCAAAGGTTGGTGTGCTGTTAACCCTCAGGATGAATGTGAGGATCTTAGGGATGGGTGTGGGACAAGAAATTTGTTTATTAAAGATGGTACGGGTTTTACAAGGTTGAGAAATACTGCTGTGGAGTCAGTTTACTCTAAGAAAGAAAGAAAAGTCATAAGGGTAATATTATTATGTTAACTCTAAATCCCACTGGCTCAAGATGTAATAATTCAGTCTCAGGCTGGGCTGAAGCTTTTTTATATCCAAACTGGGAAAAATTGCTAAGCAAAATAATAGTTTAAACAGGATTGGAAGGAACAATTTAAAAGCACTCATGTATAATTGATATGTCAATTACTAATCATTCATGTATTCATTAAACCCAGTCTCCTAAGGATTCCTATTTTCTTTACGAATATTTGAAATGGGTAAAACTGCCTTATTTTTAACAGACTGATTCTGGGCTTTATACGTTTGCTGTAGCTTTCCAACCCATTTAATTTGTTTATAAAACACTGCCATCGTGTGTGTGTGTGTGTGTGTGTGTGTGTGTGTTTCAGATTTTGTTCAGAAAAACCTGGCCTTTGGCACATCAAGAAAGGTTTGTCGGAGACCCAAATATGTGTCTCCTCGGGATGTGAAGGTGAAGCAAACCAGGTAAGTGGAATTTAGGGAACTTGTCACTTGCTGTGTGTATCAGTTGGGGTGTGCTCTACTGTATACAGAAAATCTCAACTGGCTAAAGCATTGAAGAGGTTTGTTGGCTGTGAACTGAATGCCCCAGCACTCTTGAGTTTTCTGGGCCTCACCCTTGATCTTTTTGATCTATTGTTATTATAAGTATAACACCACAAAGGATGATCTGGTGTATGTGCCATTTCATGTTGTGGAGGTAGGTCATCAGGTTAGAGTCCTACAAGGTCAATACACGTTCTTCTTTATGGAGGTTGAGCCATTATGCACTAGTCCCAGAATGCAAGAGGTGCCAATTTCCCTTGGCTTTGCCAGCAGAGAGGTTAAACTCCTAGATTTTTACCATTCTCACAGGTGGGAAAGGATATATCAGTGAATTTTAATTTGCTTTCACTTATAAGTAAGACTTACTATTTCTTCCTCATGTGTAAGGGCCATTTGCCTCTCTCTCTTTTTGTGGGCTTGTCTTTTTGTCTATTTTTCTGTCAACCTTTTGGTATTTTTCTTAGATAGAAGAGCCTTTTTATCTACTAGGGAACTGAACCCTTATTCTTTTATATAAATTGCAAATATTTTTTCTTAGTTCATTTGTCTTTTGGCTTTGTTTATGAATTATTTTACTATGCAGAAATATTTTATTTTTTTAGTTAAATGTATCAGTCTCTTTGCTTCTGGATTTAGAATTTTGGTCAGCTATAACTACTCCTACTTCCGGAAGTCATTTTTGATTCTTTCCCTCTCCAGAGCCTCCCCTATGCATAGCTTGGAAAAATGTGTCTTGTCTCTTTCTGAGACTGGATTTCTTGTCATCACTAACTTAGTCTGCAAAGGACCATAAGCAGATGCCCATCAGAAGTAAAAGTGGTTTTTTTGTTTTTGTTTTTGGTCAAATTCAGACTAAGATACAAGAGATTCAAAATCTCCTTGTGCTATAACCTGCAAGTCATACAGGTTGATGGAGTGAAGTGTGTGGTTCTTTCTTCTAACCTGTGTGGCAGGAGCTGGTTGGCATAACTCCAGCAGGCAAGTCTACTTGGGTATATGTGGTCATCTGGGCCTCTTAGGCTAGGTCAGTTTCAGAAACAAGTTCTCTATTCATTGTACAAGAGTTAACAGGGTCACAGTTGTTGAATGGAAAGTTCAAAATGGCATTTATACATTAGGTTTCGGGTTTAGTTCCTTACTGTCCTTCCATCCTCCATGAAAATATTTTATTCATGTGACTGGGTCTTATTTTTTCCTTTCTTACTGTCTTTTGGATATTCTTTATTTCATTTTTTTATCCTCCACTAGTTTGGAAGTTATACATTGTAACTATTTTTTTTTTAAGGGCCACACTGGAAATTAGCATATGTGTTCTTCAGTTAGGTATAAGACAGTCAGTTTTTTTGCTTTCCTGTTAACTAATATAAAGACTTTTATATAATTTATTCCATTTACCTTCCTTTCGACTTATGTTATTTTTAATTAATTGTTTCTTTTTTGGAAATTACAAAAACAGTTATATTACAATAGCATCAAAAGAATAAAATACTTAGGAATAAATTTTAAAAGGACTGTAAAACATACCCTGAAAACTACAATAATTTGGGTTATTTTTTAATTTAATGAGGCACTGTTATTTTATACTATGAACATTTCATTAAATTTACTCACATTCTTACCACTTTCTTTGTCCTTTCAAATTTCCTTACATGAAGGTCTGTTGGAAAACTGTTTTGTTTGTTTTAATATGTATTTATCTTGTTCTCAATATTGAAAGATATTTTCACTGGGTATAGAAATTTTGGTTGTTTTTTGTCTTAGAACATTCATTGACAATGCCATTCCACTGTCTTCTGGCTTTCATTGCTGCTTTTGAGAAATCAGCTGTTTAACTGGTGCTTCTTTGCCTGAATGACTCTTTTTACCCTCTGGTTACTTTTAAGATTTTCTATTTGCCTTGGTGTTACGGATTCCCACTATTGCATGTCTGGTGATGTGTTTTTATTTATCCTATTGGAGAATCTTTGGGCTTCTTAAACTTGTGAGTTGGTGCATCTCATTCGTTCTCTTTGGATATTGCCTTCACCCCGTTCTCTGTCCTCTCTTTGGATTTCACTTAGGTTTTGATCAGATTCAGTCCATCTCACTCTCTGTCACATCTCAGCTTCTTCTCCTGTATTTTCTGTCTCCTTGCTCTGGGTCACATTCTGCAGAATTTCATTTCCCATATCATTCAGCTCACTCATGCTCTCTTCAGGTGGTCTGATCCGCTAGTAAGCATGTCCATTGAACTTTTACTATTAAGGATTGTATTTTTTATTTTTAGAAATTCTATTTAGTTCTTTTTCAGATCCTCCAGGTTTTTTAATAGTTTCCTGTTCCTTTCATGATTTTAGTTTTTCTTTTGTTTCTTTAAACATAGAAAGAATAGTTGTTTTATACTGTACCTGATAGTTTCAGCAACTTCTTTGCGGGTCTGTTTCTGAATGATTACTGCTTATGGGACCTTGCTTAGTTATTTTAAACTGTGCTGCTTTCCTAGGAATGTTATTTGTGGGCATTCTTTGAGGCTTAGGATGAAGCTCATGCCAGCAGAAACAGAAGGTAGATCTAGTGTAGGAAGAACAAAGCATTCTGAAACTGAGTAGCATTGATTTAGAATTAGTTTCTCAGTCCGTGTTCCTAAACCCTTTGGGCCACATGTCTTTTAGAACTCAGTTTTTATTTATTTTTATTTTTAGAAAGATCTTGTGCTTTTTGTGTTACATGACACACTGCAGATAATATTTCTGCAGTAAAAAATGTGCATAGCCACTTTAAGAAAGGTGGAGAACACAAGTAGCCTCTCAGTAGTTCAACTCAAATTTATACTGCCAAATGGATTTTTAACATCAGTTTTGTTTTTATATGCCAAATACACCCAATTGAGGCTATTTGTAAAAATAATTCAGAGCTCTTTAATACAAGTTTCAGAGCTCTTTGGATTCCAGAATCATGGATCAGGGTCTGTGTGTGCTGCTTTAATCATATTCTCTCTCCCTTTTGGCAGGAGTTGAGATACAGGTGAGAAATGTATCCCTCAGGCCTGAATGTTTCAGTTTGGACCACTTAGTCAAAGATGAAAGTGCCCTCACAAGGTGGATAGTGTGCTTTCGTGCTTTCTCTCCTTGTTCCTGCTTTTATAGATGAGATGCTAAGACTTGAGACTGGTGGTATTGGGTAGTGGAGGCCACCTGTGGTAGTCTGCTTGTGTCTGAGAACTAAGTGTCTTAGTGTTTTTGTTTACATTTTGTAGCAATGTCAAGTTTCAAGGCCCAAAGAACATCCCAGACCATTGGGACCCCTCAGCCCTACCAGACACCGGCTTTCAGGTATGGGTCTCACATTGCCTTGGTCTGGGGAGAAGAATGTTCCTTGAGATAGGTGAGTGTCAGCGACTATGTTGTTTCCTCCACCACGCAAAAGGGAAGAGGTATGCATGGGCTTTTTTTTTCCCCAGGTCTTGGGATTTTAAGGCGGGAGACCACCCAGGAGATGGCTGTGGTCTTGAGAAGAAAGGATGTATTATGGATAGAGGACAATAAGCTGGAAGTTTTCTAGAAAGCTCAAGAGCTGGGCTCAGCCAATAAGTATTAGTTTTACTAAGCAAGATAGGAAAAGAAACCAGGGGATAGTTTGAGTATGATGAGGGGTGCCTAGAATGGAAATTTCTGTCAGAGGATGCTAGATAATACAAGAAAAGGAACAGTCAATTCAGCAGCTCATTTAGGTCCTGTCAAAATTTGGGAGCTGCGCTGAATTCAGTAGACTACTCAGGCTAAGGTCCAGTGGACCATGCGGGGCACTCAGATTGGCTTCTGATGGCTCGCCTCCTGCCAAGCATGTTGCAAACCAGCTTTTACAACATGACTCTCACTGCCCTGGAAGGACTCATCTTTTTGAGCTCTACCAAGCTTTCATAAACACCAGCAGCACAGGCAAGAGGTGTGAAGGGCAGGGTGAGATGACAGCAGCACTCAGATGTCAGGGCGAGGTGTGACAGTATCGAGGGGGTCAGGGAAGGCATCACCGGGTCCACATCTAAAAGATGGCTGGTGCTTATCAGGCAAAGATGGGAGAACATGCAGGTTGATAGGTACTGCATGTGAAGCAGCCCAGATCAGGACATGGAGTGTCGGGTGTGTCTTGGATGGAGGGTGTGCATAAACATGGAGGGCAGGAGAGAGGTCAGGGCTATGGTGTAGAGTGCCTTGGTCATTGCCAAGCAGCAGCCGTGACAGGTATGGGAGCCCCTGAGGATCTCTGGTTTGGAAGGAACAGCTCTGGTTGCCATATTGAGGAAGAGGAGTTTGGCAGCTTCCATGAGATAGGAGCAAGGAAACCAGAGTCAGGATTTGGGTTGCAGGACACTCAGTGGACATGCCAAGGCCTCATCATAGGGTCTTTGGGCCAGAGGGGCGAGGTGATTGTTATATTCACCTTGAGGTGGGGGAAGGGAATGGTATAGAGGGACTCCCCAGAGATCCTTAAATAGTCTGCCACTGGCTCAATCCTCATGGCTCTGGAAATAGGGAGACTGATTATATATTCCAGGCTGCAAATGCAGAAATTTATACATTGTCACTCTGTGTGACAGTTGGCTGCCCTTGGTCAGGGGCCCCTCCTTGCCCATCCGAAATGCTGTTTCACAGAACAAGAGGCTAAGGGAGAGGTAGGCTGAGTGGGGAGGACTCATTGGCCATGCCCCTGAGTTGCCACACATCCATCTGCCAGCCTGGCCTTTCCATCAGCGCTTGCGGTATGGGATATTCACACAGCACCACTGTGCATGGCAGCATTTGGCCCCCCTCTGCGAGATGCATGCCTTCCACATTTATTGACACCAGCTCGGTCTTGTAGACTATGTAGTTTCCCTTGTGTGGGGTAAGAAGAGCAGGGATGTCCTGGGGATACCTACGATGGTACTAATGTAAGCGTCACATGCCTGTCCTTCAGGCAGGTTTCACAAGGAACACAAATTGCACTCATCCTGCACCTGGAGAGACTGCCTGTTGGGCCAAAGGGGAGAGGGGTGATCATTGTCTGGGTTTGCTTCTGCAGTTCTAACATTTTAGGAGCGACCTTGGGGAGAGGTTGATCTGTATTCTAACTTCGATGATAACATAATAAAAATCTTCATCCCTTGCAGCTGGTCACCCTCAGTTCTTCCTCAGAAGAATACCAGAAGGTCCATAGTCTCTTTAACCGTACACTGCCCTACTTTGTTCAGAAGATCCAGCGAGTCCAGAACCTGGCTCTCTGGGAAATCTACCAGTGGTACGTGAGGGGCTTGCTCTTGGCATGCTGGTGACTGTATCCCTTCACAGCCATACATAGTAGGCTAGCTACTTAATAAACGTGCTCTGGGCTTCAGGGACTATCCCAGATAGCAGCCACTGCTTGCCCAGTGCTGCCAGAATTGGGAACTGTATCCCTACTTTCTTACTATCATCATCTTTGTAGCTTAGTGTTGCATGTTCTCTCAGAGAGATGAGGGGAATGAGGCTTCTATTAGTGATAAAGTCAGTTCTTGTGCTTGTATTCTGCCTCCCTAATGATCGGCGGGATTGTTCAGTATGAGTCACCCATACTCTGGGAAACATAAAGCTATTGTCTTGATATCAGGGCCCTCATTTCTGTGCCTGAGAACCAGCATGTTTTTTGGCACCTGTCCATATGAAGATTTGCAGCGGCTCACCATGCAGGCCCCAAGGCCTAGGGTTCTGCTGACTGTCCCCATAAAAAGTGGGAGCAGTCTCCTCTGTGCTCTGGGCCCGGTGATGAAATCAGGGTAACTTACAGGAGGGGGAGATGGATGGACCTCCACTGAGCAGCATCCTCAAGCTCCTCCGGCTAAGCTTCATGAGGAAGCAGGGTGGTAGGGACGAAGCACACCTGTCTTCCCTAAGGCTCGTCTGCTTTGGGAGTTCAGGTCGCTGCTGGAGGCCTAGGGCTGTGGAGGGAAAGGCTGCCCTTTGCTTTTCATACAGGTCCTGTGCTCCACCTTTTCCCTCCCTGGTCCATGGCTTGAGTTTCATGGATCTGGATCCATGTCTCATGGTCCCAGAACACTTCTTATAAAATGTGTTTTCTTGCATCAGATAGCCTGTATTTGGTGCTAAGTGCCCTCTACCTCCAGCACATACTTCTCTCCTGTGATTCTAGGCAAAAAGGGCAGATGCAGAAGGAAAATGGAGGGAAGACCGTGGATGAGAGACAGCTGTTCCATGGCACCAGTGATGATGTCGTCAATGCCATCTGCCAGCAGAACTTTGACTGGCGGGTCTGTGGCCTTCATGGCACTAACTATGGCAAAGGTAAGGGCGAGGGCAGCCTCCACCAGCAGAATGTGGCCTCACTCTGCTCTCCAGGGCCCAGGAAACTGTTTTAAAGCCAGCGGACGGTCGGGTGGGGGACAGTGTAAACTGGGGTGTGGGTTCATACCGAGTGAGGGATGGTCCCGGCTGTCTGCGGGGATGCCCAGCTGTTGGCATCTTTCCTCTCTCTGTGCGACCAGGAGCCTGACCCATGGTTTGAGCATGGGCGGTCCTGCTTAGGCTGGGGTTTTGCTTCTCTAAGAGATGGCCCTGCTCCCCTGTGGAGTGGGGGCCTAGGGAGATGGTAAGCATGAATCGGGAGAGGGAAGAGGGCGCCTACCCAACCCTGTGCCTGTGCTATTTTGTGAGAATAGAAATCTGTACGCCTCAGATATACTCATGTAAATATGCCATGGTAGCTATATGGTGAATTTTCGGAGTGGTTTCCAGTCTCCTGGTTATTTTTAAACTTTATTTGAAAATAATTTCAAACTCACAGGAAAGTTACAAGAGCAGTATTTTAAAAGCTCCTGTATACACTCCTGTGTATGTTTATCTAGATTCATCTGTTTTAATGTTTTGCCATGTTGGCTTTATCACCCCCACCCACATCATTTTTTCTGAACCATTTGTAATTTGGTGGCATATGTCATGGTCCTTCACCCTTTAACACTTCCTCAAAATAAAGGACAGTGTCTTCTGTCATCACAACGTGGTTACTAAATGGAGAAACTTTCATAATGTTGTAATACTATAATCAACAGTGCCTATCCCAGTTGCATCAGTCGTCCATCAGTGAGCTTTAATCCGGCTCTGGGGTCAGGAATGGGTGGGAGCCAGCAGAAGGTTCTAAATCCAAATGTATAGATGTTAGCTTCCACCTCAGGTTCCCATTAGACAAGGTTCATAATTCTATACATGGGGCTGCCGGTGTGTACAGAGTGGTTCCATGCAGGGGATCTTGGTCACTTTCCACACCAGCTGTATGAGTTTGGGCATGACAGCCCTATTTTATAGCTGAGGAAGCAGATTTGGGGAGTTAAGTAGTGTTATGCCCAGAGAGACCCTTCCAGTTTGAGTGACAGATTGAGAATATGAAAGGGGTTTTCTGTCTTGGTTTGATGTCCTCTGATGTCCTTCACAAGGGAAGACTGGAGAAAGAGGGAGGATGGAGGGAGGGCAGGAGGGACGTGCAGTGACGGAGGAGCAGAGGCCATTGGCATTGCCTGGTTGACAGGACACTGGAGCCTCTCCTCCCCAGCTGCAGCTGTCCTCCTGGTGACCAGCTAAGCCTGTGCGTGTCCTTGCAGGGAGCTACTTTGCCCGAGATGCCATGTATTCCCACCACTACAGCAAATCGAACTCGAAGTTCTTCATGATGTTCCTGGCTCGGGTGCTGGTGGGCGAGTTCACCCGAGGCAATGCCTCCTTTCTCCGCCCCCCAGCCAAGGAGGGCCAGAACAGCGTCTTCTACAACAGCTGTGTGAATAGTGTGTCTGACCCTTCTATCTTTGTGATCTTTGAGAAGCATCAGATTTACCCAGAGTACGTCATCCAGTACACCACCTCCAAGCCTGTGGCCACGGCCTCCGCCCAACCTGCAGACGGTGCCTCCAGCTTGTTATCCTTGGTGTCCCTCCTTCATATCCAGCAGTGAGCACAAGGACGTGTATTATGTCCTTCAGGCTTGTCTTCCTTGAAAGAGCTATTTGGGAAGGGTTGTTTGTTTTTTTATATATATAACAAAAACACTTTTAATGAACTGTTTAATGTTGACTTCTTGATGAAGTTACATTCTTATTCTCTTCCTGACAGTAGTTTTTGGTTTTAAGACACTTTTGAGCTCAATAGTGGGCTGACCAGTAGTGATTGTAGGTGAGCCCATTATTGCTTTTTACTAGGGTGGTGTTTTATTTTTTACTCTCTTTGTTGACTTTGCTACTGACTGGCACCAGGTACAGAGTTTCCAGATACTATTTTATGGATTGGTTTTAATTTTTAATTTCTGTCTCCAGTGATCTGGTTTTTCACCATCTCGGTGGCATCTTGTTCTGTTTTTTTTTTCAGAATACCATGGTAGCCTAGGGTTCAGGAAAACCTGCACTTGTGGCCCAAGGAGATAGTCATTGTGTCTCTTGCTCTGGCTGTAATCTAGGCAGCTCTTCTGCTGCTGCTCTTGGGCTCCTGGCATTGGAATTGGTCCGTATATTATGCTACTGTGGCTCCTGTGAGGTGTCACTGAACCCCTGATGGTTGCCCTTTGTCATGGGCCCAGCCCGTGAGTGTGCATCCCAGCATCTCCTAAGGGCACTGGACATCCTCTGAATATGGGTTTTATGTCTTCATGGGATTTGAATACCTGTGCTGCAATTTGTCACAATAGAGTATGGAAATAAAATAATATTTCTCTCAAGTGGGTGATGACTGAAGCTCATTCTTTAGCATCTGTGTATTGAGTTCCTGCTGGGCACACACACTTTTCTGGGTGTTGGAATGTAATAGAGCCCCTGCTCTCCCTCGGGGTGCTTCATTAGATTTATCATGAAGCTTATGAAGCTGAAAGTTGAGGGCCTTGCTTGTTGGGGCCCCTTCCATACCTCTAGAAGGGGCTCCAGCTATATGGCCACATGGTCATACATTTCGGTTAAATTTGCAAGAGTTACATCTTGGTAATTTTGTTTTCTTCTCCCCCACTCACATAAGTTCCAAGCCCCTCAAAGCTCAGAATCACTGTTGAGCAGACTGTGTTGTGGACATGGAGGAGGTGGGTGTGTCCTGTGTGTATCCTCCACACATCAGGTGTGGGGTCTCTGCTGGGCTCTGGTTGGGTCTGGACCCGGGGCAGAGGGGCTGGCAGGGTGTCCCCACATTTTCCCTCCACGTGCCCCTTCCTGGGTGCTGTACCCACTGGTGTCCAGGTTCAGTCCTCAGCAACAGCCTTCTGTCCTTACCTGCACTCTTCTTTCCCCCCACCTTCCTAATACAGTGTGTTCACTCTCCACACGATGCCTCCAATTCAGTTCATTTGTCCTGTAGTTCTCAGATCCAAGCTGTTTTTTCCATCTTTGGAACAGGGATAGAGAGTGATTTGGAACTTGACACAGGTCAGCTAATCAAGCCAGATGAAAACTGAGTTAAATGACCAGAGCAATGAAGATGTTAAAACAATACTACCTTATCTAGTTGTGTATGGTATGATTTTCAGAACCCCTAATTACTTCCTCCACATCCTGACTAATCCTGAAAGTTCATGCATTGCTTTTTTATTAGGTTGCTGGTCTTCCTACCATGTAGGTGGGGGGATGCGGAGAGTGTCAGAGAACCATTAAACAGGTACTCGCCTGCTAAATCTTAAATGTTGTTGTACTGATCCCATCCTTTTTAACCATGTGGCTCCTGGGAGCTGAGGATTGGGAAGCAGGAATGGTCTGTTTAGAAGTGTAGGTGGGAAGGATGACAAGAGGAACCTAGAATGGGAGATGATCAGATGCTTCAGAAAAGTCAAGAAAGCCAGGAAGACTACAGACAGTGGATTTGCTGACCTTTGAGAAGGCAGGTCAAGAAGAGCCACTACTTAGACTGAAAATTAAAGGGTGGAATGGGGTCCTCGCAGTAGGGTGGGCATGGGGGTGAAGCAAGCTGTTCCTGTGGGCAGAGGAGGGCGTGGGCATTGTGATGGGAAGAAGTTAAAATGACATTGACTCTCAGAATGTTAATGCAAAGAGGTGGAGTGGGATCCAGGGCAAGTGGGTATATGTGATAGCCAAGAAATTGTCATGAGGGCCCAGCCAGGATACAGCTTCATGAAGGGTTTTGTGGGGGACCCAGTCAGTACTGTTTCCTGTCATTTCCTGCCTCGTGTTGGTTGGTGGTGTGTGTCTGAACAGTGGGATTTAAACAGTACTAGGCAATGTGGGTTGAAAAAGTGTAAGGGCCGGGAGTCCAGCAGTTAGTTGTAGCACATCAAGGAAGCCTCACTGCTGTGTCTGATATTGGTGACCACCTGGATGGAGAAGGTGAAGGAAGACCAGGGAGCTGATGGACTGGCGGTGCCAGGTGCTCAGCTGGGCCCTTCCGCAGGATGAGGTTCTGTAATGGCCACGGGGAGTCAGGAAATGGGGGAGACAGGTAGATGGGTCACCAGGAATGGGAATGGAGGGCTTTTCCCCGTGAGCCTGAGTCCTGGGCCCGGCATCTCAAAGGGGCTGGATTCCAGAGATGAGCAGGTGGTGGCAGCAAGCCTGTGAGAGGGCTGTGTGCTGGGCTGGCAGGGCTTTCTAGCAGGTGTGCAGCGATCAGGTCTAGGACCATGTTGGGAAACAAGGCCGCCTTCCTCCTGCGGGGATGCTCTAGGGGAGCTCTTTGGGTGAAGCGTGGGGTGCTCTGGGCTGGAGTGGGGAAGGCCTCACAGCAGAGGCAGCATTCCCAGCCACGGTTACATAGCAACCTGGCTTGCCAGCTCACCTGAAACAGCCTGAACTTTTTAGAAGTGGGTCAGCATCTGGGTATCACATATCCATGCCCACAGATTCCTGTCTGTTATCTACATGGCATTAAGTCCCTTAACACTGCTCAGAAGTCAAATAGAGGAAAGGCTCTTGGATCCAGGTCAGCATCCGTGCTTTACAGATGGGGAAACTGAGGCACAGGGAGGTGGAAAGAACAGTAGCCATGGCCAAATGGCTGCTGGTGGCAGATCAGGGATTCAGTTTGCAAGTTTTTTGTTGAATTTGAACTACTCAACAATATAAATAATTACTGTCACTAAAATTCACCACTATATAGTGGTTCTTTGATCAAAATTAAGAAATGATGCTGTTAAAAAGAAAAGATACACTTCAGTCTCTGTCACTTTCCAGCTCATTGAAACTTACAAAGTTGGGATTACCCTACCTAGAAATATCAAAACATAATAAAACTTTTGAACCACTTTTGAAGTTAAGCTTCTGATGAATGTCGTTGTCTAAGTCAAATACCACAAAGCACCAGAAGCTGAAAAGGCCCATGAGCTGGTACCGTCAGGACAGCTCACCGAAGTGTCCCTGTGTCCCCTGCCCTGTAGATTCCTTCCATCCTGAGAGCAGGACTGCCTTCAAAACCCCAAGGTCTCAGTCGTTTTGTCAAAACTAGTTTTGCTTATTTATCAGCAGTTCCTTATTGTGAGAGGTGGATCAGTTGCTCAGACACCATTGGCAAAGTCAAAACTAAGTGTAACAAGCAAACATTTATTAAGCATTTAGGAAATGTTCTGTAAATGACCTCTTTTATACTTGTATGCCCAGGCACTTTTTCAATTAGTTAGATGATCGCCCCCCACCCCGCCCCGCTCTGCCAAAATCCAAATTTCCACGAGGGTTTTTCATTTAGAAGATAATCCTTGTAACTAATTGTGTCAGCGGGAGACAATCTTGATGTAGACGCCATTTTTGGGGCCGAGGGCAGACTTGGATTCCAGCTGCAGTGGTACCTAAAATAGGGGGGATTAATATATTTGTCACAGGTAACCACATCCACAGGAAAATGTCCTCAGAACTGGGCGTGGCACAGGGTTGTGGAAATGGGGCTGGGGACTGAGAGTTGGGCCGGGAGAGAGCAAAACAGCCTCCGCAGCAGGGACCCTGTGAAGCCTGCGGAGCTGCCTCTCCAGGACAGGGCTCTGGGGCCCCAGCAGCACTGGGGCTGTGCCCACTTCCTGTGTTAGTAAATCCACCAGACGAGGAGGGCACTTAGTTTTCCCTTTATTCTCCCAAGAACCCTGCATAAGAGATGGCAGTGGCTCACTTTGCAAATTGAGAAATGAAGGTTCAGAGAGGACAAGTGACTTGTTCAAGGTCACATGACTAGAAAGTAGCAAGCGAACTCATCTATCTCCCTCCCTGTGGCCAGCCAGAAACTGTGCAGCCCCCTCTCAGTGGGCCTGCGGGGAGAGCAGCCTCATGCTGTTCGCTGCTCACACGTGCTGTGGTCTGGCCTCGCTGCTCTTCAGAGAGCTTTCCCTATGTCTAACTTACGAGGCAAATCAATGGTGGACTGGGATCTTGGAAGAAAAGCCAAAGAAATACTGAAGAAGCAGGGTATCCCCTTGAGCTGTGTGTAAAATGATGGCTGATATGAACCCTTTCGAGGAAAGAATCATCAGGGCTTCGAGGATTATAGTTCAGTTGGGAGGCCAGTTTTAAACCCAGAAACAAGATGGTCCAGACCTGTGCTATCCCATATGGTAGCCTCTAGCATTATGTGGCTGTTGAGTGCTTGAAACGTAGTTAGTGCAAAAGAGGGGCTGAATTTTTTATTTGATTTTATCATTAAAAAGTAAATAGCCACATGTGGCTAGCAGCTTCTGTATTAGTGCAGGTCTAGACAAGCTTGAAATGCCATCGGACTTCAAAAAAAGGAGAGGTCAGTTGGGGCTAGCAATTGAGGAGGGCTTCCTGGAGGAAGTGACACCTGAGGTGGGGCTAGGAATGGGAGAAATCACATAAGCAGAACTCAGGAGCCACTTTGGGATTCGAGGTAATGACAAGGGATTTGGAAGATGGGATTAGACTGGGGGTAGGAAGTGGAAGAGATGACATTTCCAGGTCAGGGCAGCAGCCTGAGCAGGTGGGAACCCTCTCACAGTAGGAAGTTGGAGTGGGGAATGTATTGTAAAGTGGGCTCAGACGAGTTCTCCCTGGACCTGGCAGGCTCCGAACTCATGGCTGGTCCTTGAGCGAGGGAGCGCCAGACAGAAGCAGCAGTTTGGGACACTGGTCTGGTTGCCGTACTGTACGTCAAGATTGAGGGTAATGGAGACACATATGGAATACCTAGGGCAGCCGGGGCCTGCTTTCTCTGCTCTCTCACCTCTCTCTGTTTGGCTCTGTGTCCCCAATTTGTCCCTCCTGTCTCCGGTCTTGACCATTAGAACTTGGAGGACATTTTCACATCTGGTACCTCAAATTTTTGTACCCCAACTGAATTCATTATTCCTCTTGGACCAACAGCGTGCCCTAGTCTCCATTTGTTTCGAGTGGGGTCAGTGCCACTCCCTGGATCTCGAAGTTGTCACCATCTGTCACTATGTCCTTCTTATCTGCCTCTTCTGTCCTCTGGTCCAGGTCTGCAGCTGTGCAGAGGAATTCTAGGCACAGAGGAGAGCAATGTTCCAAGTGTGTAGGGAACAGCTAGTGCTGTGCAGAGAGGCTGCTGGAGGTGGAGAGGGAGAGCTTGGGCATGAACAAGATCTGGTTTGAACTCCAGTTTCTTCTCTCTGGCTAGTTGTTCATTTGCTCATTCATGTTTGTAGAATGAATGAATGAGCACCTGCCATACTCCTGGCATTAAGCTGGGTGCTGAGGCATCGAACAATGAATATCACACGCTTCTGGTCACTGTCCTCACA